CATTATGTGATGTTTTCCCATCTGTTTTGTTTCACTTATCCATGCTGTAGATGAGCAAACTCAGTTTTTGAATGATGGCATGAATATTTGTAATGAAACCAGAGCAAATAACTGGAGCGCTGCTCCTATTCTAGGCTAATGCTCCCATCTAGTGGTTGATGTGGGTACGACGAGTGCAGTGTACAGCGTGTCTGGGAACTCCAGTCTTGCAACCTACCTGCATGACACTGTGTAGTGCAGAGGGATGGATCACTGACTGACCCAGGAGAGACAGGGGCCAGGGGCCTCTGACTGTCAGGGGCCACGGGGGGGACTCGACAAAGCCCAAGGTGGCTCAACCACTTTACTATAAGGCTACCCTTATAAAGGGTTTACGAATGGTTTAAAATGACATTATTAATGGTTATAGAGATCATTAACATGCAGTTGTAATATAAATACAATGGGAAACCGTGAACCGTTATATCTGATGAATGTGGATCTCTGATAAAGCTGGCAGGTTTAATGCTGACTGACGGAGACGACAAAGTAAGATCAGTAACCAGCAACGTCTGAGGTTTAACACTGTGAACAAATGTGGGCTCACTATTTGGCAAGCAACTCGTCCTATGTGATTGCGACCTAATTAATAACCATTAATACACTCATTTTATACCATTCATAAACACTTTACAAGGTCTTTAAAAATAACTATCAATTAAGTCAAGATTTATTTATTTAGTTTTTTTTACTATGGCCATTGTCACAAAGCAGCTTTACAGAAAATTTGCACCCGAGCCCCTGATGAGCATTGCCAGGTGCTATAGGGACAAGAAACTCTCCCTAAGAGCAAGACGAAGAAACCTTGAGAGGAACCAAGACCCCAATGTGGAACCATCCTTCTGACCACATCACCCCTGTCCTTCAGGGTCTTCACTGGTTGCCCATTACATTCCATGTTCAATACAAGGTTCTCCTTATCACATATACAGCTCTGCACAGTCTGGCTCCTCAATACTTGGCAGAGCTTCTTCATCTATATGTCCCATCCCGTACTTTGAGATCACAAAATCTCGGCCTTCTTCATGTTCCAAGGTTTAAATTGACTTCTATGGGTGGTCGATCATTTAATGTAGTAGCTCCCAAATTATGGAATTCTCTCCCCCAGTCTATTCGGGATGCAACCTCTCTGCCTTCATTTAAATCTCTGTTAAAGACTTGTTCTCACTGTGTTACCGTTGTTCTGTTTATACTTGAATGCTTACCTATATTGTCCTCTTGTTTAATGTGTTGATGTTCTTTGATTGTAAAGCGTCCTCGAGCATGGGAAAGGCACTATATAAATAAAAGTGATGATGATGATGATGATGGTAATGATAAATAGCAAAACAATAACACAACAAGAGTAACATGAATAAATGCAAAGATTTCACATTTAATATGTAATAGAAATTAGAGAGAAAGAAAGGAGAAGCCAACCCGTCTTTGGACAGCAGTATTTGAATTAACCACTGATAACTGATGACTACTGTAGAAGCCTATCAGAGTAACAATGAGAAATAGGTCTGTAATAATCAGTGACTGTTAATGACTAGTAAGAGTGTTAGTGTTACTGTTACAGTGACTGCCATATATTTTCATATTTATTTATTATCACAGCCACTGTCATTTTACTGTATTTGTAAGAATTTAAAGGTGTATACATTGCAAATTTCTCTCTTGTTTTAAATTATTAGAGTGTTTATTCTTTTACATTAATGGTTGCAACAAATAACAAATAGATCTATGAAAACCAATGACTACTGTCCATGGAAATGAGAGTTAAATCAACAAACTTCAGTGACTATTGCTAGAAGTCTATCAGGACAAAACGTTAAAATGAATATGAGAATGGTTCAGTGCATTGTGAGGCAGGTAAAACAATGTCTGTGATGAAATATTTCTGGTTTGAGTCTGTGCAGGCACCAGTAGCATCAGGAGGGTGAGTGGAACATGCAGGTGAGGCTGATTGGACACATTAACCCCACCTTCATGCCCCTATAAGGATGGATCTGAACATGAGCTTCGTTTGTAGAGAGGGGTGAACAGTCTGGTGAATTAGCAGCTCAAGCACACCAGATTAAACTTAGTGGCTCATTTCTAGGTTAAGTTGGTGTGCTTGAACATGGAAATCACCAAACATGACTGGACTCCGGCCCTCACTTCTGGTATAAGGCCTACGGTGCCCTCTGATTTTATAACCTCCACTGGTAAAGATCAAAGGGGAAATCACTACAAAAAGATTCTGTGTGTCACTCTGATCTAACACTGAAATACTTTCTCAGTAAGATCATATTATTTTCAATGGACCTATATCCTACATGTTTCATGTAATATACAGTTTTAATATAAAGGCCCCTTTGATGTTTGTGTGGTTTTATATGCTAAAAACAATCATAAGTAATGTTATAAATGACCATTTTCCAATCTCTCTTTATCCCAGGCTGTTTTTATTGTGTCTTTAAGACTAATTATTGAGTTCAGGTGTTTCAAAACCACACTCTTTGCTAACAAGTGCATAAAATCAAGCACATGATCATGCAATCTCCACAAACACTGGCAGTAGAATGGTTGTCGGAGCTCGGTGTCTTTAAGCATGGCACTGTCATAGGATGCCACCTTTCCAACAAGCCTGTTTGGGAAATGTCTTCATTGCTAGATCTGCCCCTGACAAGGGATGATGGGCTGGGCTGTTTTTCAGGGTTTGGGCCCCTCAGTTCCAGTGAAGGGTGATGTTGATGCACAAAGACATTTTACACAATTCTATGCTTCCAAATTTGTGTCAGCAGTTTGGGGAAGAGCCTTTCCTGTTCCAGCATGACTGAGCCCCTGTGCACAAATAAAGCTCTGTAAAGACACACTCCAAAATCTTGTGGAAATGTCCCCAGAAGAGTGGAGGCCATTTCAGTCCCAATGCGGGGGCAACTTCATATTAAAGCCCATTTTTTGGAAGCTCATATAGCTCATATAGGTGTGATGGCCAGGTGTCTACATACGTTTGGCCTTATAGTGTATGTTAAGAAGTTCTGGTCTGATTGGCTGCCCTGTATTGTGCCTTATTCAGAAAGCAGTCCAGGCTAAAACACTCTTTATAACTTCTGTGTGAGTGGGTGGGGCTAAATTGCTGCACACTGAAGAGGCAAATAAATGATGTCACTAAAACAATGACCTCAAACAGGCTATTTTGGCAGCTTAGTTTCCATTTATGGACTTATGGACTGAGGAATGAACAGTACATTTTAAAACTTTATCAGTTTTTATGTAGTATTTTAAACGATTTTATTCAAGAAAATTTGAAAAAAACTTAGTTTTCCACGAAATGGGATCTTTAAAAATCCTTTATAAAAATCAGAATTTTTTTTCAGTCAATACAAGCATCACTGCTTTCAGTAAACAGGTGTTTGTCGCCCCCTGGTGGTCTTTAAACCAATTGACAACATATAAGCGCTGAGCAGCTTGTCAAGGTGTTCTCACCTGTGCCATATGTTTTATTACAAAAAGTCAGATCTACGCGTGTTTAGAAGAAGTAAATACAAATAAAGAGACAGTTAAACATTTATCAACACCACAAACTGTAAAGGGGAATTCCATTGATTTTTCATAATTTCTGTATAATTCAAGTCCTTGAGAAACAGAGTCATTCAGAGCGGTTTGGAGTGAAATGGTTCAGATGTCTTTACAGTGGTGGTGATAGGAACCAGGGGTCACCATGACTACAACACAAATATAGCCATTTTCTTTACTATCCAAAACCACCAGTGAACCTACACGAGTCTTCTGGGTTTATATGAAGTGTTGATCATTGTAAAGTGGTAAATCTGAAAAAAATATTTTTGGGGGGACTATTTTGCCTCACAACACTCTGCAAGTATCCCTGCACCATAAATGGATTTTAAATTATACATTTTAGTCCAAAATCGTCTCTCAAAACTATCATAAAACAGTGTCGTAGACATCAGGGAGTGAATTCGTAACAATGTCATGTAGTAACTTTCTGTGAGGGAGCTTTTAGAGGTGGACGTCTGGTTCCTATCACCACCACTGTGCACAATTCTGACTCTGTAAGCTTCTCTAAAACAGAGTGTTTCACACCAAACCACTCTGAATGACTTTGCTAACCTTCTCAACCAATGAATTATGTCAAAATTTTGAAACGTTGGTGGAGTTCCCTTTAAGATGGAGAGTGGATTTATCCAGTATGCCTAACATCGGACATTAGTAAATATGTTCTCCTCATCTTAGGATGGTTTCTGTAATAATGCAGCAAATTACTTTGAGGTTGAAGGTGAGCTATACTGTGCAGTGTTATGGGATCTGACACAAATTAAGCAGTGGAAAACATTTTATTTATTAATTGATTTATTTATTTAGTGATATATTGATGTATTGTTTTGTTGATTGTTTAAAAGCTTGAACACTGAGATGTTGACCAAAAAATGTTATAGTTTGTTGGTTGCCAGATGTGAGTTGCCAGTCTCTTTATATCTTCTACATAATAATATAATAATAGAATTTTATTTATAAGCACTTTTCAAAAAATACATTCATTTTAGCTCTAGCCAATTATTTATTCTTGTGTCTTCTTCTGCTTCTTCTCATTATTATTATTATTATTATTATTATTATTATTACTATTATTATTATTATTATTATTATTATTTCTGCAAATTATAAGCAAAGTTAAAGCAAACAAAGTAAACTGCTGGCTACTAGTTGCATTAGTTTCACAATAATTTATATATATATATATATATATATATATATATATATATATATATATGCACATATATACATATGTGTGTAATATATATATATATATATATATATATATATATATATGTTTTTGCCTTTTTGCCTTTGTTTAGAAGGGCTTTGATTTTGACATAATTCGTTGCTCATTTCACCGAGCTGACAGGTTTTTGGGGGTGTGCGGTGTCACGTGACGAACCGTAGGCTCTAAAGTTCGGGCTCGGTTGCGCAAAACGCGCAAAACTCATCAGAGGCTCCAGAAACCCAACCGCACTCAAACAGCTGCAGACAGAGAGAGACAGAGAGCAACCATGGACAAGGCTTCCAGCAAGATGAATGGAGACAATGGAGTCCAGGTGTGTATCAAATATACGTCAAATATAGTGTAGTTATGAATATATATTAATGCATTTCTATGATGAGGCATGTGTTAAATGCTATAACTGAATTAGTCCACTATTATTACAGTAGGTGAATCTACATGGGCACTAGGTTTGTTTGTGTGCTCAGTCTGTGTTTAGTCTATTGTTGTAGTTGCTGGGCCAAATGAACTGTTCAGTAGAGTCAGCAGAACATTTGCTGCTGGAAAGCATCAAAATAAAGACAGTTGACCGGCAGCCTGAAATGATAGGTCACCTAATGCTATTTGCTTAATGTATTTGTGATATACTTAGATGCTATTGAGGTACATTGGATGAATACATAAGCAATATGTCTAAGTACAGCTTTAGAAAGACAGGCTGTAGTTCTATAATCAGAAAATCCTCTTGTACTCTTAAGAGGGTCATATTAGAGATTATTTCCAAAGTCAGGGGGCAGAGGTCAGGTGTCGTGCCCACGTAGATATTTCTGAGCCCTGGGAAAAGTCCTAGGAATGTGAAGGTGATGATAGTCATGAGTTCGTAAAGCCGCCTGCCTATACCAATATCAAAGGGAAACTCCATCAGTTTTTAAAAATTTGTACGTAATTAAATGGTTAACAAGTCAACAGAGTCATTCAGAGCGGTTTGGTGTGATAGGAACCAGATGTCCACCTCTAAAAGCTCCCTCACAGAAAGTTATTACATTAAATGCTTATGAACACACTGTCTGATGTCTGAGACGTTGTTTTACAATAGTTTTACTCTAAAATGTATTTTAATCCATTTATTTAATCCATTCATGGTGGAGAGGCACATGAAGCGTGTTCCAATGCAAAATAGTCCCCAAAAGAAAACTTATTTTGTCAGATTGACCATTATTTTACCATCACTGGTGGTTTGGGATAGTAAATACAATGGCTCTATTTGTGTTGTAGACATGGTGACCCCTGGTTCCTGTCACCACCACTGTATAGAAATCTGAGTCAGTTTCTCTACAGTGAAGCATTTCACATCAAACCACTCTGAATGACTTTGTTTACATCCCAACCACTGAATTGCACAGAAATTTTAATGCATGCAGACTCATACACAGCAATAAAGCAAATAGTTTAATCCGACTGTCCACCAAATCAGTTTTGTGTTGCCGCTGTGAGGCCACTGAAGTGTATTGGCTGTATCACATCATTAGTTATGTTATGTTTGGGTTTGTTTGAGGTAAGGGTCCTATTACACTGCGAAAAAAAATTAAATAATCTGATTGCCTTACAATTTTGAGCTTATTAAACTTCTATTAGTACTTTAAAGGGGAAGTCCACTCAAATTTTCGGAAATTTAAGTCACTGAGATGCTGAAAAAGAACAATAAGGATTAAAACCTGATAATTTTGCTTTCTAATGGGAATTGGCTTAGTGCTTAGAGACCACAAGTTGCCTATAGGACACCTTTAGATCCTATTAGGAAACCATCGGATGCATCTGGAATCAGTCCAAGAACACCATTAGAGTCTTTTACACTATATCAACCCATCAGGAAAACACAGAACACCATTACTGACTATTCAGCAGAAAACAAACTCATTCAGAGTGGTTTGGTGTGAAATGCTCCATTCTAGAGAAACATACTGCCTCTGATTTCTCTACAGTGGTGGTGATAGGAACCAGGGGTCTCTACAGCGCAAATAAAGCTAAAAAAGTTTGGACATCCCCAGTCAATTCACATGTTTTGTTGATTTATTTAAGTGAAAAGAACACACGTAAATATGGCAGTTTTTCTGCAAATTTTAGTGCACAGCTTCCATTTTTTGCTGAGATTAACATACTGGAAAAAATAAAAAATAAAATATGAAATGAGCCATAACTTTTGCACAAGCCACATTTTATGTTTTATCTTTTCCCCAATATCTTAAACTCAGCAAATAAACAGTAATTGTGCATTAAAATGTGTAGAAGTGTGTTCTCTGTAGAGGATGTTTTCACTTATTTTCACTTAAAAAATCAGCAAAACAAGGAATTTGACCAGGGGCGCTATAACTTCTGTATTGCCCCTTTTTTTTTTCTACCCAAAACCACCAGTGAACCTACGCACGCCTTCTGAGCTTTATAATGTTAATGACTGTGAAATAGTGATAAATCTGAAAAAAATAAGTTTTCTTTGGGGACTGTTTACTCTCACAACACCCTGCATGTTCATCTCCTCTATGAATGTATTAAAAAAATAATTTTTAAGCCAAAATTTCATCTCAAAATTTCGAGTTTCACCAGAACGAAGCATTTCAGACAACTCTGAATGACTTTGTTTACATCTCAACCCCTTAAACTCCAGGGACGTCCACATCTTAAGGCGTATCATTTAGAAACTACACCCTTAGAAATAAGGCTTAGGAAAAAATGCTTTTGGTGTAGAACCCTTACATAAAGTGGAGGTTCTTTAAATGCTCAGACTCGCACATCTGATTTACAAAAATGGTTCTTAACACAACTGTTCATTAAAAGGTTACTTAGGGACCTGAAAGTGGCTCATCTTTGGTATCAAACCAAATAACCCTTTTGGCATCTTTATATTTTTGTGTTTTTTATATTTTAAGTTATAGGAGTGAACAATGAAGGCTAAACTTTCTAGTAATTCTGTGAATGTTAATGGTTTAACCTGACTGTAGTCTATTGTGAGTATTTTTCTGAAGGGGTTTCACGTAACCATTTCATTTTACAGAATTTTTAAATACATTTTTGCAAATTTTGAAAAAAATGGTGGAATTCCCCTTTGATAGAACAATAATCTGTACTTTACATTCTGCTAACTTTGTCCAATAAACTTTTAATGCAGCCAGGCTAGTTGACACATGGTTACACTTTGAGGGGGCAAGTTGAGAGAGAATGAAAGAGAGACACTTTCAGAGAGAGAGCGAGAGAGAGAAAAGGAGGAGAAGGTTCACTTTGTACATGAAACTCATGTTGACACATCGATCCTAACAAAACATTACATAATACTCCCAACACGTGGAGTTACTGGTGATCAGATATGGGTATTTGATGACTGACGATGGTGACAGACACACCGTCTGTGCCTCCAAGTAGTTGCACTGTGGATCTGAAGCTGGTAGATGATTCGTTTTGTCTTCTTCAGCAGGAATCCATGTACCTGGAGGAGAAGACCTATAAATCTGGCGTTCTGTCCTGCATCTTCTCCCTGAAGGAGGAGGTGGGAGCTCTGGCCAAGGCCTTGAGGCTTTTTGAGGTACATACATCAAGTCTACACATAAATGAAAAATCTCCCCCTCACATACAGCCTTGTGCAAAAGTTTGGCACCCCCGGACATGTGTTGTTGATGTTCTAAGTGAAAATAGGTAACTACACCCTCTACAGAGAACACGCTTCTGCACATTTTAATGCACAATTGCTGTTTATTTATCCAATTTAACATGTTGGAAAAAAAGATTAAACATAAATGGCGTGTGCAAAAGTTATGGCACATTTTATTTTTATTCTCTATTTTTTCCAGTATGTTAAGTTCAACAAATTAATAGAAATTATGCTCTAAAATTTGCAGGAAGATGCCATATTTAAGTGTGTTCTCTGTAGAGAACGTGTTAACATATTGTTACTTAAAAAATCAGAGCATTTCATTTGACCAGGGGTGTTCAAACTTTTTAATTCGACTGCACCTGTCATCAATAAACGTTCTACATCATCTAAAGCAGGAGTATTCACTTCTGGTCGTGGTGGGCTAGTGTCCAGTACAGTTTGGTGAACTCTTTGCTTACTAAACCTGGCAATTTGGAATGAAAACGAGGGCCAGTGTCCAGCAAACTGTGCTGGACGCTGCTCTCTAGGACAGAACTGGAAGTCTGAATGCTTTACCTACAACACAGAGCAGGAAACACCTCTGATGTTGAAGGAGTGCTTCAACCAAAAATGTAAAAAGTGACCTGTTGGCATGTCCATCATGCTAAATAACGTCTACTGTATTCCTTACTATAGATGTTGGTACTTTATCTGGGAAAGTAGGCATCTATGGAAATAACTGTATGATGTCTTTAAAGGGAAAGTCCACCAATTTTTTTAAAAATCCTGCATAATTTGATCACTGAGTCCTTCAGAAATAGGCAACAAACAAAGAAAGTTATTCTGAGTGGTTCGGTGTGAAATGGTTGATTGTAGAGAGTCAGATTTCTTTACAGTGGTGGTGATAGGAACCAGGGGTCACCATGACTACAACACAAATATAGACATTTTATTTACTATCCAAAACCACCAGTGAACCTACACGAGTCTTCTAAGTTTTTATATGTAACACTGATGATGGTAAAATGGTGTTAAATCTGAAACAAACAACTTTAATTTGGATCCTGTTTTGCATTACAACACCCTGCATACATCCTTCTGCCATGCATGTGCTTTAAACGTATGTTTTACGCCAAAATCTTCTCAAAACTATGATAAAACAATGTCTCAGGAATCACACATTGCAGACATTAAACTCTTCAGACGTCTGGTTCCTATCACCACCACTGTGAACAGTTCTGACTGTAAGTTTCTCTAGAACAGAGCGTTTCACACCAAACCACTCTGAATGACTTTCTTTACATCTCAAACATTTAATTATGCAGAAATTTTGAATAATTGGTGAGATTCCCCTTTAAGTTGGAGACAAGCCAGCAGGTCATGATTCAGGCTTTTTTGTGAAGGTTAAACCAGAGCCTGTTTGATGACCTGTCTGATGAAATGCCTTACATAAGTTACAAATGTATCCTCATGCTGAAGTGACCTGGCACGTCTGCTGTCCTCAGCTGCTCTGAGGTCACAGTTTACACTAGATTGGCGGGTCTGCAGTCATAGTTTCATCAGGCAGTTTGTGTTGTTATGTCATATGACATTATGTCTATGTGACTGACTATTTTAGCTGCTTTTTTAAGTAGATATAGAACAGATCTCTGTTTGGAGTTCTGTCTGCACCATAAACTACCAGGATCTCACCATGTTTAACTCTAATTGTTCACAGTAAAAACTGTATGTATGATTTTATTTTGAAATCAATTTTCTGTACTTTTTCTGTTTTTGATTTTATTTTAGTTTATTTACTTTTTCAAAAGATGCATAGGTGTGGTCAAATTAATTTTTTTACAATGTACATTTATGGTAAATTACTGGCTACTGGGTTGCATTGCTTTTACTGTTTATATGTACAAATCGCTGCTGTCAGAACAAAACCTTGTATCTCCATTTTTGTTGTTTTTCAGTTTTTGTCATAATTTGAAAATGCCTGTTGTCCTTTACATTGTATGTAAATTTCATGATGAATGGACCAAAAGAAACAGCCCCAAATGACTTGGAAAAAATTCTGGTTCCATTGACTTACATTAAAAGTAAATTGTGTTTTTTCCTTCTCCTGTAAAGTTACTATTTTGGAGATATGAGGTTTTGATCCGACAGCAGCAAAATACATGAGATGACTGTATTTTAATTATGGCTTATGACTGTAAGTGTAGAGCGGCTACATCACAGTAATCTTATGGTGCAGGTGGTCACACTATACAGCAGCTATTATACTGTTATTACTGTTAATACGATTTAATGAATTAGTAATTCACCATGTAGCCAATAATTTACTGTAATTTTACTGTAAAATGTTTTACAGTGTTTAAGTGAAGCACACTGCATTGCTCAGACCCAATTCTGAGACTACAGATTAAGTGTGGGAAAGATGCACTCTTACATATGTATTTAGTACACTTTTAAAAAGTATGGTTCTTTAAGGGTTCTTTAGTGAAGAAAATGGCTCTATATAGAACCATGAACACTCAAAGAACCTTTTGCGTGATTAAATGGTTCCTTGGATGGTGAAAGCGTTCCTCAGATTGATGGACAATGTGTTGTAGATGGTTTGATTTAGAATCTTTTTGAAAAGGGTTCTATATAGCACCAAAAAGGGCTCTTCTATAGTTATGATACCAGGCCTGTAACAATAGAAGAACCCTTTCTGGTGCTATATAACATTTTTTTTAAAAAGCTTCAATATAGAACCATATAAAACACTTTCTCCATCAATCTGAAGAACGTTTTTACTGTGCAAAGAACCCTTTAAATTTACTTTACTAAAGAACCTTTAAAGAACCATCATTTTTGAGTATGTACCGGGCAAAAGTCTTGAGGAAAATGCTCAGAAAAACACTTTTAAACACTAAAATAAATGCAAATAAAATACATAGGTAGTGATTTGTGTCTTTGTATAACATCGACGAAGCCCAGTATTGTTTATAATCATTCAGCACCTCATTTGATTAATCAGGAGTTCATTCAGTTAAATCAGGTGTGCTTCTGGCCAATTTGAAGAAACCTGTGGTGGCCAGTGGACCAAAAGAAATGGCCCAAAATGACTTGGAAAAAAGTCTGGTTCCATTGACTTACACACTTACTACTGCTCTATAAATGGTTATAAACGATGTGCTTACATGTCATTTATCATTCCTAAACCTAAATCTGTAATCTTAAATCTCAGTGTAGTGCACACATCACTCTACACTGTTATGTTTATGAGCTAAAGGGTCTACTAGGTTGACTATGAAGGAGGTGACGAAGGGGAAACAGCTGGCCGGGTGCAGATTGATCCATATGTCAAACACTAAAAACAGTCGATCAGCCGTGAACCCTGATGGTACTTGTGCAGGTGTTTGATGTTTGAGACTCTTGTTTGTGTAATTCAGGTTGGTCTTTGGCCTGGAAATTTAGACGGAATTAAATTAGCCATGACCCTTGGCCTCTTCAAACACAGTCTCTATCTCTATCTCTCTGTCACGGTCTCAAACAATGATGAAATTCTCAGCTCTACAAGCATCCACCCACCGTATCAAAGTGCACGTCTTGTTTTGAGACATTATTGACTTTGATGACTACGTGCAACGCGGCGCGATATCAAAGCGAAGGCTTCAAAGGTTTCAGACATACACATTTGCTTTCTCTTTAGGTGTTCACGCCATCGTCCTGACGACGTGGTCAGTCTGCTGGGGTCATGGGTAGTAATGATGCAGAGAATTACATTGCATGCCAAGTCAGCGTCCCCTGTGGTGTGGTTGTAAACATTAAAAGATTGGTCCAGACCTATGAGCTTCCACGGAATGTGTTCCACCCCCTGCTCCACCCCCCTCCACCACCCCCTAAAACACCCCATATCCACCCACTCCACCCCTCAACACGCTACTCAGTTCCATCTGCTGACGCCCCATCATCCCACTCTACAACCCTCCCCTAAACATACACCCCTTCACGCACATCCTAAAAGCTGTTTTACACACTAATTGCTGCCTAAGGCTCAGTGCTGCATCAGCGTTAATCTGCACCTCGGAAAGAGGAAAGATCCCAAATAGTTCTTGGCTTAGACTTTAAAAACCTTTAATTGGTAAAGAACCTTTACATTATGTGAACGGTTGTTTAACCTTTGAATGCATTACCCGAAAAACAAATACATAATACATAAATGACCCGTACAAATGTTTTTCTTCAAGGAAAAGATATCAAGCTTTTACCTTTATCTTCAGCTTATTTGATGTTCTAATGTTTTATCATGTTTATTTGATCACTTCCCAAGTACATATACAGTAAAGAAAGATGATTTCAAAGATTCAAAATTTCATTTCCAAAAAAATGAGACACTGTGTGAAGTTCAGAACATTCTAAATGAAATTCAACCGTTTTAAATGAATGAAAACAATACAAAAACACCGTATTTGATGTTTCACCCTGTAAACTATGTTGTTTCTTGTAAATGTCCATTCCAAATTCCTGCATCATGTTCCAAAATAGTTGGAACAAGAGCATGTTTACTAATATGTTACATCACCTTTCCTTTTAACAGCACTTAATTAACGTTTGGAGAGTGAAAACACAAACTGATCCAGTTCAGAATCAGTATTTTTGCCATTCCTCTGTTATAAAAGTCTTAGTATTGCAATTGTACAAGGCCTTTGTTGTTGTATTTTGATCCAAATAAGACACGTTTTCCATGGGAGTCAGTTCTGGACTGCAGGCAGGCCAGTCCAGCACCCACACTCTCTGATTACGCAGCCATGCTGTTGTGACACATGCGACTTGGCATCATCATGTTGAAGAAGAAGGCAGCAAATGTTGTTTCACAATGTGTTCAGCATTAGTGGTGCTTTCACAGATGTGCAAATTGCCCACTAACACCCCCCAACACCGTGACAGACCCTGACTTTGGAACTTTATGCTGGTAACAATCTGGATGGTCCTTTCCTTCTTTGGCCCAGAAAACACGACATCTATTATTTTCACAAACAGACTGAAAGCTTCAATTGTCATACGGCAATATACGTTTCCACTGAGCATCAGTCCATTCCAGATGAGTTCAAGCCCAGAGAAGTTGGCGGCGTTTCTGGACGTTGTTGATATATGTCTTCCACTGTGCATAGTACAGCCTTAAGTTGCATTTGTGGATGCAGCAACAGACGGCGCTTCCTGTCAATGATTTTTCAAAGTATTCCCGAGCCCGTGTGGTGATATCCACAAAGGAGCATGCCGGTCAGTGGGATCGAAGGTCATGGGCATTCATTTGTGTTTTTCGGCCTTGTTCTTTATACACTAAGATTACTCAGATTACCTGAATCTGTTGATGTTATTATGCACTGTAGAGGGTAAAATACCTAAAATCCTTGTAATCCCAGGCGGAGGAACGTTATTTTTAAACCGCTGAATTATTTGCTGATGCATTTTTGGCAAAGTGGAGAGCTTTGACCCAACCTCACTCATAAAGGCCTTTCCTGGAGACTCATTTTATACCCAAGCATAATTGCTTCACCTGTTTGAGATGATTTGACAATGTTAATAGTTTTAAAGCGCCAAACATTTTCTTTAACCTTAGAATGCAAAAAGGGGGTCAAACTGACCTGACAGAGTGTGATTTTGAGAATATTTTAACAATGCATACTTTGTTACCCTGTTCTTCAGTGGTCAGGACCCCCATGGACCCTCACAGAGCAGGTACTATTTGGGTGGTGGATCATTCTCAGCACTGCAGTAACACTGACGTGGTGGTGGTGTGTTAGTGTGTGTTGTGCTGGTACGAGTGGATCAGACACAGCAGTGCTGCTGGAGTTTTTAAACACTGTGTCCACTCACTGTCCACTCTATTAGACACTCCTACCTTGTCAGTCCACCTTGTAGATGTAAAGTCAGAGACGATAGCTCATCTGCTGCTGCACAGTTTGTGTTGGTCATCCTCTAGTCCTTCATCAGTGGTCACAGGACGCTGCCCACAGGACGCTGTTGGCTGGATATTTTTGGTTGGTGGACTATTCTCAGTCCAGCAGCGACACTGAGGTGTTTAAAAACTCCAGCAGCACTGCTGTGTCTGATCCACTCAGACCAGCGCAACACACAATAACACACCACCACCACGTCAGTGTTACTGCAGTGCTGAGAATGATCCACCACCCAAATAGTACCTGCTCTGTGAGGGTCCATGGGGGTCCTGACCACTGAAGAACAGGGTAACAAAGTATGCATTGTTAAAATATTCTCAAAATCACACTCTGTCAGGTCAGTTTGACCCCCTTTTTGCATTCTAAGGTTAAAGAACCACACATTGAAAGGTTCTTTAGGGGGCCGAAGTGGTTCTTCTGTAGCATCCCTTCTGGCACTTTCATTTCTAAGAGTATTTAGGCCTTTCCTACAAAACTTACACCAAAAAAGAGTTCAAATCTCTTAACAGCAACAAAGAGCTCCTGGACAAATTTGTTGTCTTTGTTTTCATGAATAATAAGAAAAGTTTGAGGTATGTGAGCCCAGCGGTAGAGCTGAAATATGCTTTATTTTCTCATAATTACATGCACAGTTGATGAGGACGTCTTTTAAGTGCTAGCCAGTGACCACATAGTGACTCGGGTCAGCACTTTATGCAATTTACATCAAACCCTGTGGAGAGACTAGAACATTTACAAGGGGAGTTTGTTGGCTTTAATGCAAGGTTAATGCAGAATAGTGATGCGTGCACTAAGTTGTTGTGTGAGTTCAGAAGAAAGCAGCGTCCATGTGGACCCAACTCTTTCCAGATGGAGAGAGAGGAAGTAAGAGTGCGAGAAAAACACATACAGAGAGGAAAACAGTCGTGCAGGACGTTCCGCCTCCTCTGTGAGCCTATAGCACAAAGCATCGGTCACCCTCCCCTTTAAATAGTTTGTAAATAAAAAACACATTGTTGCTTTAATAAAAAGCTGCACATCTCTGTGGGTCTGGGGTGGAACGCAACCAGCACACTGCCTACAGCTGGACACGATTACATAAACAAAAATATGCTGTTTGCTTGGATTTGGAAAATGCAGTATATTTAAATTAGTGCAGTTTGCATAAAAGCATGCAGCTTCATGTTCTCTGTATAGAAGTGCGTAGACACACACACACACACACACACACACACACACACTGTTTGTCGTTCAGTAAGTTACATGTTGGTTGAATATTAGGGTTGCACGAAAGAATTCTTCCAATTAAAATCATCAAATTCTTGACCCAAAGCTGTTAGTGACCCCTAGTGGCCATAAAGAGCAATATATATGCTGTATAGTATGAAGCAAGTGCATCCAATCGGTGCTGAACACTGCACAGTAGAGCCCTGCTCTGTAATATGGAGGAGAGAAGCTGACCTGAATAAATAAGTAATCTGATTAAACATAGATAAATAAAAGCACATCAGGTTTAAATCTTAAAATACATAAATAAACAAAATAAATTAAAACCATAAGACAAACATATGTTAACATGCATGTACATATTTTTACAGACACATCCATATACGTATTAGTGCACCTAACCAAATGATGCTTGTGTTGATTTTCTAATTGGGAATAAGTTAACACGTCCTCCACACAGAGCACACTTAAATATGCACAATTTCTATTTGTCTGCCGAGTTGAATACACACACACACACACACACACACACATATTTTCTAAGCTGATTGTCCTTCTGGGTTGCGAGAGGAGCTGGAGCCTATTCTAGCGGTCATTGGGTGGAAGGCAGGAAACTCAGTATATTAAGTTTAATATATTGGAAAAAAACAAAAACAATTTAAATTGTGGCATAACTTTCGCACAGGACACATTTTATGTCGTGTTTATTTTTCTATATATTAATGTTTTATATATATACATATACATATATATATATATATATATATCGCTGTTGTCTGAAGAAAACCTTGTATCTCCAAAGTGGTAACTTTACAGGAGAAGGAAAAACATACTTAACTTTTAATGTAAGTCAATGGAACCAGAATTTTTTTCTAAGCAAATTTTTTTTTTCAAAGTTTCTTTTGGTCCATTCATCATGAAATTTACACACAATGTAAAGGGTAACCAAAAAAAAAATTAATTATATATATATATATATATATATATATATATATATATATATATATATATATATATATATATATACATATATATGTGTGTGTGTTTATTTTTTTTTATTTAGGCTGTAAGCATTTATCTGTTTATTACCATCCATTGAACATATACAAAACCAAACCTGTGTTCTTCTAACTGAGTAACCTTTGTGTTCATAACTTTACTGTATTGTTTGTATTCATTCTATGTATTTGTATTCACTCTAATAATGCAGTGTTTTCACAGTCAAACATGCACTAACGTCTGAGAACAAGATTTAAACAGTTAAATAACTGCCTAAGATCTTTCCACAGTACTGTGTGTATAAAGGTCAGATCAGTTTTGAGATTTAATTTAATATTTTGATATATTTCTTTGCCTTCGTATGTGTTTTTAGTTTTATTTTATGTATAGCATTCTGATCAACATTGGTTGTTTTACTACAGTTCCACAGTCAGTCAAAGATTTAATTAAATGTATTGATTTATTTGTTTGATTTCCTGCATTTAGTAGGAAAACGGTTAGTTTTATTCTGTTGTGCAGAACTTTGATCCACATTGGCTGCTTCCTGAAAATTCTTGTCTTCTGCATCTCTCAAGTTTAATAATAATGTAATTGGCAGGAAAAAGGCATCAACCTGACACACATTGAGTCGCGCCCGTCGCGCACGAACAAGCAGGAGTACGAGTTCTTCATCAGCTTGGACACGGCCTGCTCCAAGGCCCTGGACGACGTCATCAACAGCCTGCGCACCCAAATCACCGGCCAAGTGCACGAGCTGTCGCGCAACAAGAAGAAAGACACAGGTGAGAGAGAGAGAGAGAGAGAGAGAGAGAGAGAGAGAGAGAGAACGATATACAGTCGTAGGCAAAAGTTTGGGCACCCCTAGTCAAATTAGTTCTGTTGAAGTGTAAATAAGTGAACACGCCCTCTATACATTTTAATACACAATTACTGTTTATTGACTGAATTTAACATATTGGTGGAAATATAAAGCATAAAATGTAGCCTGTGCAAAAGTTATGGCACATTTTATATTTTATTTTATTTTATTTTTCCCAATATGTCTTCAGTCTTTCCAGTAAATTCACCAGACATGTAGAAATTGTGCACTAAAATTATCAGAAAATGCCATATTTAAGTTGTAGGGAATGTGGTCAGAACAAAATGTGTAACATGAAAGATATTTCAGCTATTCAAGATGTTAATATCTTACTTATTCCTTAGTATTATGTCTGTTGAGCATTATTTTCATTTACCGTTAATTAAATAATAACTTAATAAAGCCATTTGAGTCTGAATCTGAATTTAAAAGAGAAAAAAGAGCGAGAGAGAAAGAACTTGCTTTAAAAAGAAAATAAGAAATATATTTCTACCAATGAATGAAACCTAATAAGAGCTAATTAGCGATCGTGCTAACCGATCTCCACTAACTCTCATTCGCCGTCAGTCACGTTGCCTTTTTTCGGGTGAAGTATTCTTTGTCCGAGACTTGAAAGGGGCCACTTGAGTGCTGGAGAATAAGAGAGTCTACACAAGAGAGAGACAAAGAGGGGAACAGAACGCCCGTTTATGTCCACTGCATGTTATAGCCCTTCGACGTATGGCTGGATCTCGCTGGCTTGACCCTTTCTTTAATTGATTGCTTCTGAAATGACATTAGTTTAGCTTTTGAGCACAAACAGACTCGTAGAGAGGAACTGAGATGCCCCAGTGTCGCGCCGAAAGCCCCCTCGACTGACTCATCATGTCAAGTCAGAATAATTAGGATGATAACTCAGTCTCAACAGAAAGACCCCAGTACAATACGTGGCTCTGTGTGGTAAGATAACACGGGGCGAGACGGGGGATATTTATGGCTGTGACGGAGCCAGTCTGGGTCAGCAGGGTCCTCGCCAGACCATCGCTGGCTTCTGTCCCTTGGGCCTCAGGCTAGACCACACTGCTCAAATATATACCAATGACTGGACCACCAGAGTCTTCAATCTGTAATATATCCAGATTTGCCACCCCACCAGTCACGCTCACAGCAAGACTTTGCCTCTCGGCTTGACGCCTGGACAGTGTAATTTTCCACCACATCCTGTCTACAATGGCTACAGCTTCCTTCGGGCTCATTCATCTCAGTTAGCATGTCAGTGTGTCCACATTTTCAGAACCGTTTGGATGTAGAACTTCACAGAACTGTTCTCATCAATCAGATAATGGAATGCTATAGCCTTTGGGAATGCAAGAACACGGCCATAAAGGATCCACTACATCACCCACACCACACTCTTACAAATAAAGATGCCACATGGGGTTCTTTGCAGTGAAACCATAGAAGAACCACTTTTGGTTCCTTATAGATCAGCGGTCTCCAACCCTGGTCTGGGAGAGCTACTTTCCTGCAGAGCCTAGTTCCAACCACGGTTTGCCACACCTGCTCCAGCTAATCAATCTCTTCCCAAGTCCCTGATTGGCTGGATCAGATGTATTGGAGTTAAGTAAGGGGGCGGGGCAACTTATTGGATACAGGTTTGAACTAAATTCTGCAGGAAGGTAGATCTCCAGGACGAGGGTTGGAGACCGCTGCTCTAGATCCTTTTAATGAAACTCAATTCTTTTCACTCAGTTCTTTATGGAACTAAAAGTGGTTCTTCTATGGCATCACATTTTTGGGGTCTTTATTTTAAATACTTAGTGTGGTGTGGTTGAAGTAATGAATCAGGGCAGCTTTTTTGTGACAGCGGTCACCGATCATATCCGCAAAAAGCTGTGCTGCAGGTTTTCAAGCATGCACCTCATATAATTAAATATTTAAATAAAGACTGAGACAAACAGATTAAACAAACAGATTTAGATGTGTGGAATGAAAGAAACTTTGAGGTTAAGATTGGTGACCTTTGCTTTATGAAGTCTCAATGCAAACGAGTGCAAAAAAGCCCTAAAAAATGAAGTATCATGCTGTACAGGCATGTGTTACAGTAGTTGTAAACACTGTGTTACCAGCACAAAACTTTCAGCACTCGAATGATCGAATATAAAATGGTTCTGGTTCATGTCATTGGAGTTTTGTGTCATTGGTGTTCTCTGGTTCATGTCCTTGGTGTTTTGAGTCATTGGTGTTCTCTGGTTCAGGTCATAGGTGTTCCTTGTCACTGGTGTTCTGTCCTTCATGCCCTTGGTGTTTTGAGTCATTGGTGTTCTCTGGTTTATGTCCTAGGTGTTTTGTGTCATTGCTGTTCTCTGCATCATGTCCTTAGTATTTTGTGTCATTGGTGTTCTCTGGTTCAGGTCATAGGTGTTCTGTGTCATTGGTGTTCTGTGTCTTATGTGTTCTCTAGTCTGTTCAGTGTTCAGGGTTTATTTGTTTTCCACAGTCCCATGGTTCCCCACAACCATCCAGGACCTGGACCGATTCGCCAATCAGATTTTGAGCTATGGCTCCGAGCTGGATGCTGATCACCCGGTAAGGCTCAGTGTGTGTGTGTGTGTGTGTGTGTGTGTGTGTGCATATGTGTGTGTGTGCAGTACTGTGCAAAAGTCAAAGAACACCCTTCATTTATTTAACTTCCAGTCAAAACAGCTATTTTTAAGTTATTAATTTTTCAAGAGATATTTCTGCAGAAATTAGATAAGATATAATCCACTTGCATAAAGAAGGAGAAAGTCAAAGTGATAATAAATGAAAAAAACAGGAGATTCAGCAGGTGTTCAAAAACTGATTAAAAGCTACAGAAAAAATGAGACTCCTAACAACCACCTGGAAGACCTGGTAGACACCAAAACTGCCCCCATCAGATAAACAGCACTTAAAGATTTCACCTCTGAGAGAGAGGAGAAAATCAAGCTGCTTCAGATCTGAAAACATCCACAGGTGTTTCTGTCCATCCTTCCACTGTGAGAAGACGACTCAGCGCTGTGGGTCTGAAAGGATGTGTAGCTGTGAAGAAGAACCTCACTGAGAAAAGGAGACGGACACATCAAACAAAGAAGCTGAACAATGGACTGACCACCCCAGAGTCCAGACCTCAACACCACTGAATGTGTTTGGATCATGAGAAACAGAAAATGCAAAACTGACTACTAAGAACTTTGAAAGTGTGGAAAATATTGATACTACATTTAATTCTTAAGGCTTTTTGAATATACACAATATATACATATATATATATATATGCTTTTCCTGACACTGCAAAAATAATAATTGACTAATAAATTAAGTTAATAAATGCTGGTCTCTGACTTTTGCACTGAATATGCATATGTTATTAATTTATTGTCTTTATGGGGACCAAATGTCCCAACTGTTATAAAAACAATGAATTCATTGAATTTACTTGATTGAAATGTGTACATTAGGAATGAAATATGTTTCGCCAGCACAGTTTGGTCTTTCAGTTTGTTTACTTTTGGCAATAATTGTGTCAATGTTATCATTTTATTGATGGCCACTGATCTTTGCACAGTATATCGCTGTTGTCGGAAGAAAACCTCATATCTCAAAAATGGTAACTTTACAGGAGAAGGAAAAAAACTACTTTACTGCTAGTGTAAGTCAATGGAACCAGAGTTTTTTCCAAGTCATTTTGGGTCGTTTCTTTTAGTCCATTCATCATGAAATTCACACACAATGTAAAGGGTAACAGGTATTTTCAAATTATGTCAAAAACTGAAAAACAACAAAAATGGAGATACAAGGTTTTCTTTTGACAACAGCGATATGGGGACCAAATGTCCCAACTGTAATAAAAAAAAAGAATTATTTGAATTTATTTGATTGAAATCTGTACATTGGGAATTAAATATATTTTGCCAGCACAGTTTGTCTTTTATTTTGTTTACTTTTGGCCATAATTGTGTCAATTTTATCATTTTATTCATGTGGAAATGATGTACACATTTCAATTAGAATTTTTCTTCTACGTCAAATATTTCTTTTACTTCTTGTACAGCAAAAAAGAACAAAGTTTAGCTTCTGGTGGCCTAAGAATAGAGACCACCTTTACTTTTTTGTGCTGATGCGTGTGGGGGTGTTTCTGAGGGATGCGTAGTTCACACGTGTGCTGCTGAAAGACGGCAGACACGACGACGGTCCAGCCTCATTCTCTATTCTAATGGAAACGGTCTGCGGCCTCAAATTGATGTCATCACTTTAATTGAGCCCCTGTAATTATAAATAATTGCACCCTTTCCAGCCACCATTAAACCGAAATGCATTCATCATAAGCAGCAAACACTCTACAAAGGCTTCATTTGAATACGTCTTTCACTCTCTGAGCCCAGCACGGATGAGTAATAATGGTCCGAGGCTGCGGAAAGATCAGGTCTAAGCTGAACTCCACTCAGTCTCAGTAGTATTAGAGTCTCATCCTCTGGTACCTGTCGTTCACAGGGCTTCACGGACCCGGTCTACAGGGCCAGGAGGAAGGAATTTGCTGACATCGCCTACAATTACAGACAGTAACTATTGATCAACGCTCGCTTCTCTCTGCTCTCTAGAATCCTCTCCTCTTTCTCCTCATCTCTCCTGCATTGCCACACCACCTCTGGCTCTTTCCCCCCCGAGTTGTTTTGTGTGCCTTTTATGGAAAATTATCCCCGGGCAAACAAAAGGGGGGGAAATTAGAGGGGCTGGGCGCCGGCCCGCGCCTGCAGCTTTGTCATCATAATTGAGCTGCATTATTCCCGTGACACTACAAAGGCCAGGAGTGCTCAATGAAACGCCCACTACGGAAACATGCATTTACATAGCAGTGGGGCCCACACACACACGCACAGCATGCTGACAACACGCTGACTAATTCAGTTGGGACAGTTAGGACAGCACTGTTACACCACTCTCTTACCCGGACCTGCAGTACCTGCACTATTCATCTGCTCAGAACTTCTGATTTCCCCTCATGTCAGCTTCTTTTCTCATCCCCACTGAAAACAGTGTTGCTTTGCATTTACTTGATTCCATATCAATGAAATATATTAGAGCAACAGAATTGCTGTCATTTATGTTATGTACTTTCGGTAAAAAATATGTTGGTGTAATATGTTCTGTTCATGTGGAACTGATGGACACAAGTAAATGAAAAGCAACACGTTCTTAGTGTTAATTTGCTGTTTCTGTTATTCATTTAATCTCCTTTATATTGTCTATTATATATATTGTCCTTTATATTACTTTATGTTTATGTTGCTCCCTGCTGATGTAAACATTTATGGGCTATTTAAAAGTGCTTTATTTTTATTATTATTGTAGATCATTTTCATTATATTATTTCATAATAATAATAATAATAATAATAATAATATTGACTGGCCTGAATAATTGGATTATTTGTTCTTTATGTTGGTCTTCATTTCTCAGATTTTTTAAGCCACAACAGTTGGAGCCTAAACTACAATGTATTTAAGCAGCAAAACACTTAACAATATAACACTTATTGTTATTGTGATTTGTTATATACATGAAAAACCTTAAAAATTAACAGTCAACAGCTGGTTTAGTTGAATGTATCATACATTCATGCCAGTCATCATTATCATTATCATTATTATTATTATTATTGTTATTATTATTAGTAGTAGTAGTACTGTTGTGTTAGAAAAATGAATATATTGCAACAACAGCAACAATAATAAAAATACTTATTGTTATTATTATTATTATTATTATTACTACTATTATTATTATTATTATGACTGGTCTATGTAATTTGTTTGCTCTTTTCAGCAGTATTCATCTCTCTATTTAGTATTCAGAAGATTTTTTTCCACAAAAATTGTAGCCTAAAAATCGCTTCAGCCAAAATCAGCCAAATTCTTTATATTGAAGAGTTATCATTGTTTTTATATACATGGAAAATGTTAAAAATTGACAACCAACAGCTGGTTTAGTTGAATCTGTCATAAATTCATGCCAGGAATTATTATTATTATTATTATTATTATTATTATTATTATTATTATTAGCAGTAGTAGTGTCTAAATGTATCTGCTTATGTGATTAGGTTTATGTTGCTCTCTGCTTCTGTAAGTTAAGGGTTACTGAAAAGCGCTGTAAACACTATAAGCAATAATAATAATAATAATAATAATAATAATAATTGTTAATAGAATTAGAAGAATTTGTCACAGTAATAGTATTAGTAGTGTATCTTCTGAGATTCTGCATCTCTTAGCGCTCTGAAAAGTCTACAGAACCTCCTTCAGTCGTTCCTGTCCTGTTCCACTCTCAGCGGTCAGCCCATCCCGCGTGTGGAGTACACGGAGGCGGAGAAGGCCACGTGGGGGACGGTGTTCAAGGAGCTGAAGAAGCTGTACCCGACTCACGCCTGCCACGAGCACAACCGCGTCTTCCCGCTGCTGGAGGAGTACTGCGGCTACCGCGAGGACAACATCCCCCAGCTGGAGGACGTCTCGCGCTACCTGCAGTGTGAGTTACTGACCTTTACATGGACAGTGAGGTGCACTGAGTTTGCTGCATTTACTTAAAAGTTTTGTCCTTCAGTTTACTTACACTCTTAAAAAAGATGGTTCTTCAAGGGTTCTTTAGTAAAAAAAAATGGTTCTGTATAGAACCATTAACACTCAAAGAGCCATCTGCATGATTAAATGGTTCTTTGCATCATGAAAATTTTCTTCAGATTGATGGAGAATGTGCTAAAGATGGTTCTAAATAGAACCTTTTCAAAAAGGGTTCTATATCTGTATCGAACCCTTTTCAAAAGGTTCTATTCAGAGCCATCTTCAGCACATTCTCAATCTGAAGAACACTTTCACGATACAAAGAACTCTTTAATCATGCAAACGGCTCTTTGAGTGTTCACGGTTCTGTATAGAACCATTTTCTTCACTAAAGAACCCTTGAAGAACCATCTTTTTTGAATGTGTTCTTCTGGCAAAAACTGTTGATGTAATATATGTTACTCATTTGATAATGATGTGCATTTTAATCAAGCAAATTCAGTGCATTACTTCAGTACAGTGTCCAGAGGTCAGTGCTGATGTCTCATCCAGACGTCCCTGAAAACTGGAAGATGAAAAATTGAACTGCAGTTCATCTGCTGATTAACCCTTGTGTGGTGTTGATGTGTGTTACTCAGTGGTCTGCTGGACCCACCACATTATTGTTTGTCTAAATCAATACAGCCATAACAATTTATGTAAAAATACCAGATGTTTAAAATATCACAAGTGTCCAGCGTAGGGTTCTCCTTTAGCAGCTGTAGCCAGTCAGCAGCCTGTTCATGTTGTACACCCTCACACACACAAACACAGACACACACACACACTAACAGCAGGCCATGTAGGAGGAGAACAGAGTGAAGGACACAGCACCTCCACACTTTTACTCCCCGCGGGTTCACAGAAAATGAGCAAAGGCCAAGAATCTGAGGTTGAAATAATAATAAATCATCATTTTTCCTTTTGGTAAACATTGAAAATGGGTCCCACAGACCTGAACACGACACAAGGGTTAAAAGTGACCTCATACAGTTCCGCTTACTTCATCTATCACAGCAACAGTTGAGATAACAAGTTTGTTCTGTTTTTTCCCAGCATGCACCGGTTTCCGTTTGCGGCCCGTGGCAGGGCTGCTGTCTTCTCGTGACTTCCTGGCTGGTCTGGCTTTCCGTGTGTTCCATTCCACCCAGTACATCCGGCACGGCTCCAACCCCATGTACACTCCGGAGCCGTGAGTACAGCCTCTCACAGCACCGACACTCATATGCAGAAGTTTGGTGACACTTTATTTTGAGGGGTCCTTTTAGAGCAAACACTCAGCAGGGTGAGGGTTAGGATTAGGCTTTGGGTTGAGGTTAAGGTTACTGATATGTTGTTGATGTGTTACTGATAATCTGTTAAGAGTTTATTAATCATCTACGAAGGACCACTCCAAATAAAGTGTTACCAAAAGTTTCATCACTCATATGTTTAGTGCATTTTATGTAGAGGATGTGCTACTTAATTTCACTTAGAAAGTCAACAAAAACATGTAAGCAGCACTCAAACTTTCGTATATAAGTTTATACACAATTATTCATTGATTGTATGCTGCAAAAATTTAAATATGTCAGAATATAATACTATTTTTTACATATGCTGCTCTGACAGTCTGTACTACCTACATTTGCATTCTCTCCACACACTCTGTATACATGTATGTTATATTTATACTTGCAACATCTTTGTTTTTACCACTCTACCGTCCTTATTTGTACATATCGAAACTTTCTTGCACTTCATATGTAAATAATACTGTATTTTGCACTTCTGATTAGATGCTAACTGCATTTCATTGGCTCTGTACCTGCACTCTGCACAGTGACAATAAAGTCAAATTTAATCTAATCTAATCTATTTTTGACCTAGAACATGATCAAAGCAATAACCCCTTAAAATCCCAGTGTTATTACATACTAAGGCTTATTATTCAGTAACTACAGGGACTTCAGTGCAAACTGGCTGAGCTATTCTTAGGTTATAGATATGTGTAATAAAACTTTGGGCCAGCTGGTGGACCCTGGCCATTAAAGGGGTTAAATCACAGTAACAGTTTAAAGTGAAACAATAGACTCATAACATAAAGAATATGACTAAAATATGACTAAAACATTGATAGAAGGAAACGTAACGTAACATAATGCACTGAAGAATGCATCAAAGCCACTATATGAAATGGTATGTGAACTGTATTTTTTCAGAGACATCTGCCATGAGCTGTTGGGACACGTTCCTCTGTTTGCCGACCCCAGTTTTGCTCAGTTCTCGCAGGTTTGATGCCTTTATATATATATATATATATATATATATATATATATATATATATATATATATATATATATATATATGCACCCTTACAGTGTATTACAGAGAGAATCCGACATGATGCATCCATGGATTGAATTATTTACCATGTTAATATTTTAATATAGTTGAACACAAGAGCAGAATATGAGGAAGTGAGAGGAATGCAAGCTGCATACAAAATTGTTCTTTCTTCCTGATCAGGAAATTGGCCTCGCTTCCTTGGCTGCCCCAGATGAGTACATTGAGAAGCTTGCAACAGTGAGTATATCATGCGCTCCTGAAAAATAAAGGTGCCAGAAAGGGTTGTTTGGAGCGGAGCCATAGATAAACTAATCCTGGTTGCCTAAAGAGCCTTTGTGGGGTGGGGGATCTGTCAAAAATATCATATAACGGGACTTCAAGACATTTTCACAATCTTCAGTGGGCTTTGGCGATGAAGTCAGGTCTGCTCTCATCGTTTGGGGATGAGAAATGTCATCGTTCAGGCATTGTGATACATGATATGCATGCTGATATTTAGGTTTTCTGAGATTTAAGTTGGAACAGACAGAAAAGAACCTGTAGTGCCACATTTAAAGATACTGTGATAATAATAATAATAATAATAATAATAATAATAATCCTACAACTGCAATGGTTATTACTCAGTGTTTCACAATTTGCACAGCATGAAATCCTATTAAACAGGACTTATTATGCTCACTTTATAATGAATTGTAATTAATAAGTGTTCTGTAAGAACAGAAAAGCATATCATGACATAATTTATTATGATAATGATATAATATCATCATATTGCCCAGCTCTACATTTCAGTTTTTAAAGAATTATGCACTGGTGTATTCAGTAACAGCTTTACTTGAACTTTTCTACATAACATTGACATAATCATGCCATAAGTATGTCATGACAGATGTCATTAGCGGTCACGAGTTGTTGTGTCATTACACTGTCATGTTATCAGTACTTTAGTAGGGCGTCATGACATCAAACATTATGGCATCTGTCATGACAATTCATGACAGCCTATGACAGCTTCCATGACATGCTTATGTCAATGTTATGTCACTGGGTTCAAGTATAGTATTAGCAAAGATTCTTTAGGGAACTAAAGTGGTTCTTCTCTGGTTTCACTCTAAGGAACGCTTTTTTTAAGAGTGTCACAATAAAATCAATCTTAATCAAGACATTATCTTATGGTTCAAGTGAACAAAGCATTGGATCAGTCAAGATGGATCTCTGTAATGTGTTTGCAGGTCTACTGGTTCACTGTGGAGTTCGGGCTTTGCAAGCAAGGCAATGAAATCAAGGCCTATGGAGCAGGACTGCTCTCATCGTTTGGGGAGCTGCAAGTAAGAATTTCCATACCCAGATTCTTTATAAACCTCAATTCCAAAAAAGCTGTGACAGTGAGTGGAATGCAAATAAAAACAGACAGCAGTGATTTGTGATTCGTTCATGGGGTGATTCATTATTGGTGCCCCCACAGATGTGCAAGTTACCCATTAATGCCTTGTACTATGGGGTACATGACACATCCCGGCTTTTGAACTTTACGCTGGTAACAATTCGGATTTTTAAATCCACTCCACTTTTGAACTTTACACTGGTAACAATTCGGATTTGTGAATTCACTCCACTTTTGAACTTTACACTGGTAACAATTCGGATTTGTGAATCCACTCCACTTTTGAACTTTACACTGGTAACAATTCGGATTTGTGAATCCACTCCACTTTTGAACTTCACACTGGTAACAATTCGGATTTGTGAATTCACTCCACTTTTGAACTTTACACTGGTAACAATTCAGATTTGTAAATCCACTCCACTTTTGAACTTTACTCTGGTTACAGTTTGGATTTATAAATTCAAACTGCCACCAGCATAAAGTCCCAAAGTCTGGATCTGTCCTGGTCACTAAAAGTGTACATTTTGGAGCAACATAAGCTGCTTTGTTAGACAACATCTTTTTCAGGGATGCACGTGCATAAAGTAAAACATCAAATATTGTGCTTTTGTACCGTTTTTTAAACAGAGTTTTCTGATTACTGCTTTCTATTTCATTAGCATTTCACATCCTGTCCCAATTTTTTTGAAATGGAGGTTTGTATTTCCCAGCAGTTTTCAGTGAAGAATTTATCCCAAGCCCGGTGCAATAATTCACCTTGTTTTCTAGCTTTAGTTCCGGTACAGAAGGTTACGAAACATATGAGCTGGCCTCCTGCTGTGCACTGAGGCAGTGGGTTAGTAGCTCACCCCCGAAGTCCAGGTTAAATGTGTCAGTGGGGGAAGACGGTCCTGCAGAGTGGGTTACTGGTTCACTAGGGAACCGAGAGCAAAGAAACATGCAGTAACAGTTACATCAGACACAGAAGAGCAGAGGAAGTCTGCACCACTGGCAAACACACTCGACCCACACTTCCTGATTATCACTCCCCCACACGCCAGTTCCCAATCGCAGAGTCATCGAGAGCTGACTGGGGTGCTGATTTCATGGAAGACAACTGAATGAGGCTGAATTAAAGGCCCTTTGTCATGTCTTTTTTCTCCTGAGGTCTGCTTATATATGTGGATTTATGCAAAACAAAAATAGGCCTAAGTAATTTTACATGACCATTTTTCAACCTCTCTTTATCCCTTAGAATTAAACAGGCTGTTTTTGTTACTGTGCCTTTAAGATTGACATATGTAAATGAGCTCTGTTCTGATTGGCTGTCCTATATTGTGTCTCATTCATAAAGCAGTATAGGCTGAAACATTCCTTGTAACTAAAAAGTGAGTGTGTGGAGCTAAACTGCTGTAGGCTGAATATGCAGATATGTGTAAATGCATTGGTTTCCAAAAACAGCAGATTATACACTATGTTATGTTTACATACTACAAAAAACAAACAGAAAAAAACAAGAAAAAAGTGTTTTCCTAGTTAATTTGATCTCTTTGGAAAATGCTGGTCTGAGTGGATCAGTGCATCAGGAGTTTTTAAACCCCTCAGTGTCGCTGCTGGACTGAGAATAGTCCACCAACCAAAAACATCCAGCCAACAGCGTCCTGTGGGCAGCGTTCTGTGACCACTGATGAAGGACTAGAGGATGACCAACACAAACTGTGCAGCAGCAGATGAGCTATCGTCTCTGACTTTACATCTACAAGGTGGACTGACAAGGTAGGAGTGTCTAATAGAGTGGACAGTGAGTGGACACAGTGTTTAAAAATTCCAGCAGCACTGCTGTGTCTGATCCACTCGTACCAGCGCAACACACACTGACACACCACCACCACGTCAGTGTTACTGCAGTGCTGAGAATGATCCACCACCCAAATAGTACCTGCTCTGTGAGGGTCCATGGGGGTCCTGACCACTGAAGAACAGGGTAAAAGGGGGCTAACAAAGTATGCAGAGAAACAGATGGACTACAGTCTGTAACTGTAGAGCTACAAAGTGCACCTATATAGTAAGTGGAGCTGATAAAATGGACAATGAGAGTAGAAACAAGGAGGTGGTCATAATGTTATGCCTGATTGGTGTATATTGGTGTATATAAGTATAGTAAAATAAAGTGCGATATTATAAAATACATTTTTGAAAAGATTTATATACTATTTTGGTTTGGGTGCCCCTCTTGTATAGTATCACTCCTTTTTTAGCACCTTTGTATGCTAGAGTGAATGGTCATTTTTTAAATTTAAGAAATTTACTGTAATGTCTAGCATGACTGTTAATGCAAAGCAAATACAGTAATACAGTAATACAGTAGAGCAGAACCAAATGAACCGTCTGTTTTCTGCAGTACAGTTTAACTGAGAAGCCAAAGGTTCTGCCCTTCGAGCCAGAGAAGACCTGCCTGCAGAAATACCCCATCACTGAGTTCCAGCCGATCTACTTCGTGGCTGAAAGCTTCGAGGACGGCAAAGAGAAAGTCAGGTAAAGCGTCTGTGAGGAACCACCACGGCATTGTTGACCGGAGAACCGTCACCTTTCCCTGATTAATCTGTCTCCTCCACATTACAGGAAGTACGCGGCCACCATTCCGAGACCGTTCTCTGTGCGCTACAATCCCTACACTCAGAGCATCGAGGTTCTGGACAACATGCAGCAACTGAGGAACCTGGCTGACAGCATCAGCAGTACGTCTTTATCCTTCATCTCATTAACAGGGTTTAATAGAAAAGACTGTTCAAGTAGATCAGAGATTCATTTTTAAATGAATAATGACAAATAATGGATTATTATCAGGTTCCAGCTGTTATTATTTTAAAAAAAAGATGGTTCTTTAAGGGTTCTTTACTAAAGGCAGTGGTTCTGTTTAGAGCCATGGATTCTATGTAGAACCATTTCATGCTTAAATGGTTCTTTGCATGGTAAAATGGTTCTGCAGATTGATGGAGGATGTGTTGTTTATGGTTCTATATACAACCTATTTGAAAATGGTTCTATATAGCACCAAAAATGGTTCTCCTGTTGTTTCATGCTTCCATTGTGTCAATGGAAGAAGTCTTTCTGGTGCTGTATAGAACCATATACAACCCAATCTTCATCAATCTGAAGATTTTCCATGTAAAAAAAAAACGTTTAAGCATGAAGTGGTTCAATGTAGAACTCATGGTTCTAAACAGAACCATATTTTTAAGAGTGTAGTCTGCATGCACCGCTGTCTCACACAGCTTCCTGTGAGGCTTAATGAGCACTTCAGATCATCTGCTGAATCTGATGCCTCTTTGTCGAGAATGGTTCTATATAGCACCAAAAAGGGTTCTTCACATTTTTTTTATAAAATAATCAATTTTTAATTATTCAAAAGCTGATTTTTAGGATTAGAATAGCTTTTAAATATCACCCTTTAAAAATGAGATTTTCTTTATGAAAGCAATGGTTATATATCAAACCATAACTCACAGCTTAAACGGTTCTTTGCATGGTTAAAGGGCTCTTCTCTGTTAATAAATGGTTCCAAATAGCACCAAAAAGGGCTCCATTATATGATTCAAAGAACTGTTTTTGGTATTATGCACATTCTTAGCAAAATGGGTTCTATATAGTACCAAAAAAGGGTTCTGTGGCATGTAACAATAGTGGAACCCATCTACAGCACATTCTCCGTCAATATGAAGAAAACTTTCAGCATGCAGAGAACCCTTTGTTCATGCAGAGAGTTCTTTGAGTGTTCGTGGTTCTACATAGAACCAAGAGTTTTGCCATTGTTATGATGTCAAGCTTGATACAGTAGAAGAACTCTTTTTGGTGCTACATAGAACCCTTTTCAAACAAGTTCTATATAGAACCATCTACAGCACATTCTCCGTCAATCTGAAGAACACTTTCACCATGCAAAGAACCATTTAATCATGAAAAGGGTTCTTTGAGTGCTTGTGGTTCCACATAGAACCATTTTCTTCACTAAAGAATACTGAACTCATGAAGAACCATCTATATACAAGTGCAGAACTCTTCAGTCCATATTGGCCAATGATATTAATTTTAACTAAATGTATCCAGAGAATCATGTGTCCTTCATGCTGTGGTTCATTTTGAGACTGTCTTTTTTAATAATGGACCGAATCTCTTTGTGCAGGGAAGCTTAATATGGTAGTAAAACGGGGGGATTTGTTTTTGGGTTCTGTTTCAGGTGAGGTGGGAACTCTGTGCAACGCTCTGCGGAAGATGGAGTAGGACGAGCCAACAGCGACGAGATGTTCCCCACTCATCACAGAGAGCCTAATGTTTGTGCAGCGACAATAAACGTGTGTTTTGTTGAATTAAAAGCATCGTACACTCACAGAGAGAGAGAGAGAGAGTGAGGGAGAGAGAGAGGTGGAGAGGGAGGGGAGAGAAAGGGGGAGAGAGGTGGAGAGAGAGGGGAGGGAGCGGGGGAGAAAGAGGGGGGAGAGGGGGAGATTTAATACACAATTAGTCATTATGTATTCTTGTAGAAAATATAGCTCCACCCTCGCTCACATGACGTTTTGTTGATTTTCTATGTGAAAGTAAGTGAACACATCCTCTATAACTGAAATATAACCTGCACACAATCTAAAGGTTCTATAACAGTTCCTAGAACCGTGCATCCAAGCCAAGAACCACTTGGGAACCTTTTATTTTTAAGGGTCTGCACTTAAAATGCCAACATTGCTAATGGGAATGAGTTTCTATTTAACGTTTTCTAAAGAGATCATGCCCTGCGATGGACTGGCGACCTGTCCAGGGTGTATCCTGCCTTCCGCCCAATGACAGCTGGGATAGGCTCCAGCACCCCCCCGCGACCCAGAAGGATAAGCGGTTTAGAGGATGGATGGATGGATAAAGAGATCATATGAAATAGGAAAACACATTTTTCTTGTGTTTTTCTTTTTATTTACTGAGTTTAACATACTAGAAAACAAAATATATAATGTGCCATAACATTTGCACGTTTTATTTTTTTCAGTATGTTAAATTCAGTGAATAAGCAGTAATTGTGCATTAACCATCTGTTGCGTGATGTTGCTTCAGAGCAACAAATTAATTTTCCTCACTTTTCAATAACATCATACATATTTAAAGACAGTAATAGGATTAACAATAAAGAGAAGAAGTGTGAGTAAGTCAGGAAAAAGCATGTGTTTGGTCATATTATCACCTATTGGGCACATTTAAACCTCTTTTTTTAACATTCAGTATCAATATTTTTGTTATGAGATTTTGCAGAAATATGTTTGTTGCCTAGAAGCAACATTGTGCGACAGTAGAATGGATTTAGCCAGGCACAAGGCAGGTCTCACCACTTTAGGGAATAGGGATCTATATCATTTACCATTGTCACACAATGTTGCCTCAAGGCAGCATACTCCAAAAGGACCCCGGCACACGTTTTTTTTTTTTAAACGTTTTTGAATTTAATAATCAGGTCTGAAAAAATAAATCAAGGAGCATTTTATGCTAGAAAAGTCTCATAACCTGTGCATAATGTGGAGAAGTGTGCTCTCAGTAGAGGACGTGTGCTCATTTTCACAGTTCAGCATATCATGTAATTTGACCGGGGGTGCCCAAACTTTTGCATAACCACGGCATGTAATCTGTGCTTTGTAGGTTCCGGTTTCTGTAGTGCTGAGAATAATAAGCAGTGCATTTGCATTTCCAAGTAAATGTACCTTTTTTATGACTGATCTACTAAAGTAGTTTCAACACAAATGGCAGTTCAGACATTTTTCACATTATTATTCTCTATATTTCACATCAGATCTGTGCCTTTAAACACTGAATAGCCGCATTGATCTTTGAAAAATGAATTTTTTTGCTTTATATGTTTCCTTTTTCAGCTGTAATACATTTAAACTGCACTCAGTCATTAATACTGACGTGGAGGTCTGTTCTTCTTAAAAGCTTTAACATTTTTACTGTAGTTTGCTGATTATTTGTAGAAAGCATATTTAACTTAGAGCAGTCTTTTGTAAATATACGCCTGCAAAACATAATCAATCGTCCATCATTTAGTTTTGACAAAATAAATAAGTGTATAATTCTCAGTATATCTGCTTCTTCCTCCTGTCTCCTGTGTAACAGTGATTATCAGCCTCAGAGTGGCTGGAGTGAGCTGATCCTGTGCAGCCTGCATGATTAATCTCACATTTCCTTTTTATTCATTTATTTGGTGCTTTTTTGTGTGACATCCTGAGTTTTAGTGCATTAAATCTGTCAGTTGCATTGATGTGAATGCAGTGCATTGAACGGCTCTGGAAAAGATCAGATATGTATTTCCTTTGGATGATCTGCTGGAGAAATGACTGAATATTATATTATGCATGCAGTTTAAATAAAGCTTGACTCTGTATGAACTGTGACTCTGGTTCTTCTTAATCGCCATAAACTGTGATAACATTAATAACAGTAATAACAACAATAATAGCAATAATGGTAAAAAATATATATATATATAAAAAGATATCATAAACAATAAACGATAAACATCATGAACAGTTCACCAATAATAATAATAATAATAATTATTATTATTATTATTATTATTATTATTATTAATAATATTATTGTTATTATTGATGTACTTCATTATGTTTTATAGATTGTTTTGTTTATAATGTATTTTTAAATCTATTATTATTCCTAAGCTATAATTATTATTAGTGTACTCTTGATGGCGTTTATCGTTGTTTATAATGTCTTCATAAATATGTATTATTATTATTACTATTATACTATTATTGCTATTATTTCGTGTATTGTTTATAATGTCTTTTTAGACTTCTATTCTTATTCCTATTGCTGTTATTACTGTTATTAATATTATTGGTATTGGTGCACTGTTGATGTGAATCGTTTATTGTTTATAATATAATTTTAGACTTCCATTATTACTGCTATTATTGTTATTACTGTTATTATCGGTAGTAATAATATTGTTATTATTGGTGTACTGCTGATGTTTATCGTTTATAATATTTTAGACTTCTGTTACTATCACTATTATTGTTAGTACTGTTATTATGATTATTATTATTATTATTATTGATATTGTTATTGGTGTGCTGCTGATGTTTATCGTTTGTTTATGATGTTTTTTAGACACCTATTATTATTACTATTACTGTTATCGTTGTTATTGTCGTTATTACGGTTATTATTGCTGTTATTGTTGTTAATCTAAGGCAAATCTCAGAGGAGAACTGGTTGATTTCAGTACCTTGGACAGCGCGCGGCACAGCCTTATTATCGCGCGCGCAAAAAGAGGCTCTTTCCACCCTTTTGTTGTTAAATGAACACTCTTTTAAAAAGACGATTCATCACGGGTTCTGTTTAGAACCATGTGTTCCACTTCATGCTTTAATGGTTCTTTGCATGGTGGAGTGGTTCTTCAGATTGATGGAGACGGGAAATGTGCTGTAAAAGGTTCTATAGAGCACCAGAAAGGGTTCTGCTATTGTTGCATGCTGGACAGAATAAGAGAACCCTTTTTGGTGCTGTATAGAACCGCATACAACAGTCTGAAGATCCATTTCACCATGGAACGAACCATTCAAGCACGAAGTGGTTCTGTATAGAACTCATGGATCTAAACAGAACCGTCTTTGTTGAGAGCGCAGTCCGCGCGCTCCTGAATCTGACGCCTTTCGGTGCCTCAAAGAGCGACACGCAAAGCGAGCGTGACGCACCAACTGACCCTCACGCGCATTTCCATAAAGCCCTCGCGGGACTGTGTATATAAGGTATCGGGTCTGTGAGTAAGCTCAGCGCGAGCCGGCAGCCTTCATCGCCCCCGCCCTCCTCCTCCTCACCGCGCCCTGAACGCTCTGCGTAACCGAGTCCCCGCGTCCCCGCGAGCTCCCAGCGCTTCTCCAGATGAAGACGGACAGCGCGGCGCAGAGCGCGCCCTTCACCGGCCGGAAGAGGAGCCTGATCGAGGACGCGCGCAGGGAGAGGGAGAGGGAGAGGGGGAGCAGTTCGGCCTCTCCGGGTCCCTCTCTCAGCTCGGACAACTTCGTGTTCGAGGAGGAGAAGAGCAGCAAGGTCACCATCAACCTGCTCTTCGCCCTGAAGAACGAGAAGAACGCGGGCTTCTTCAAGGCCGGCAAGGTGTTCGAGGTACTGGGACTGACCTTTAAAGGGGAATCCCACCACTTTTTCAAAATTTAGGCACTGGGATTAAAATCAGAATCAGTTTATGTTTATTTAAGATAATTTAATACATAGCATAAAGAATAGTAGCTGATAAGAAAGGAGATAAAGAGAGGTGTGAACATCTGTACATATGCAGATATGAATATTCATACATGTTGCTGTTGAAGAAATTAATCTCCAAAATGGTAACTTTACAGGAGAAGGAAAAAACCTACTGTACTTTTAATGTAAGTCAATGGAACCAGAATTTTTTCCAAGTCATTCTGGGCCGTTTCTTTTGGTCCATTCATCATGAAATTTACATACAATGTAAGGATCAACAGGCATTTTCAAATCATGTCAAAAACTGAAAAACCCTCTGGGGTTCTTTACTAAAGAAAATGGTTCTATGTGGAACCATGAACACTCAAAGAACCTGTGCCATGATTAATAGGTTCTTTGCATCATGAAAGAGTTCTTCAGATAGATGGAGAATGTGCCACATATGATTCTATGCAGAACCCTTCTGAAAAGGGTTCTATATAGCACCAAAAAGGGTTCTACTATTGTTACGATGTCAAGCGTGATACAACAGAAGAACCCTTATTGGTGCTACTTAAACTATTATTCTGTATACCTTCTTAAAAAGGAGCGTTCTTCAAGGGTTTTTACAGAAAGAAAATTGTTCTACAGTAGAAGTATGAACTCTCAAAGAACCTTCTGCATGACGGAGAATGTGCTGTAGATGGTTCTATATAGAACTCATTTGAAAAGGTTCTCTATAGCACCAAAAAGAGTTCTTTTATTGTATCAAGCCTGACATCATAACAATGGCCGTTGCATGAATAAATGGTTCTTTGCATGGTGAATGTGTTCTTCAGATTGATGGAGAATGTGCTGTAGTTGGTTCTATACAGCACCCAAAAGGGTTCCACTATTGTTACAAGCCAAAGAATTTGGAACCATTTATTTCCAAGAATTTAGAGCCTATTTGGAACCATTTATTAACAGAAAAGAGCCCTTTAACCATGTAAAGAACCGTTTAAGCTGCGAGTTATGGTTTGATATAACCATTACTTTCATAAATAAAACCTTGAAAACCTCATTTTTAAAGGGTGATATTTAAAAGTTGTTCTAAAGCTGATTTTTAATCATAAAATCAGCTTCTGAAAAGCTAAAAATAGTTTATTTTATAAAAATGGCTTCAAAATCACTGCCCCAAATCAACACTGATCCAAATGGCTCAGTTCTACTTCCACTATTGTTCCGATGTCAAGCTTGATACAACAGAAGAACCCTTATTGGTGCTACTTAAAATACTATTCTATATACCCTCTTAAAAAGGAAGGTCCTTCAAGGGTTCTTAAGGAAAGAAAATGGTTCTACATTAGAACTATGAACACTCAAAAACCTTTTCTTCATGATAAAAATGTTCTTCACGTTGATGGAGAATGTGCTGTAGACGGTTCTATTTAAAACCCAAAAAGGGTTCTTCTGTTGTATCAAGCATGACATTGTAACAATAGCAGAACCATTTTTGGTGCTACATAGTACCCTTTTCAAAAAGGTTCTATATAGAAACAGCACATTCTGTATGGATGTCCTCCAAAGAATCCTTTAATCATGCAAAAGGTTCATGTGTGGTCATGGTTAGCTATATAGAAGAACTTACTAAAGAACCCTTGAAGAACCGTCATTTTTAGGGTGTGTACAGAATATTACAGAATATATGAGCATTGTAAAAATGAATGTGTGCAGTTTTGCAAATCGCTGTTGTTGGAACAAAACCTTGTATCTCCATTTTTGTTGTTTTTCAGTTTTTTACATAATTTGAAAAAGCCTGTTGCCCTTTATATTGTGTTTAAATTTTATGATGAACTGACCTAAAGAAACAGCCCAAACGTACTTGGAAAAACGTCTGGTTCCATTGACTTACATTAAAAGTACAGTAGGTTTTTTCCTTCTCCTGTAAAGTTTCCATTTTGGAGATACAAGGTTTTCTTCTGACAGCAGCAAAATATAGTTACATAGTTAGTTGAGTAATACTGTGATACAGTAAGGAGGAGATGTGAGGTCAGAGTGGTTTGGTGCGAACCAGAACCAGTGGTGATGGGAACCAGACGTCTGAAGAGTTTAATGCCTCTAAATGCTCCCTCATGGAAAACTGTTCAGATTTGCCACCATGTTAACATTATCATCACGTATAATAACTCACGTGCAGCTTCACTAGGGCTGAATGATTCGGGCAAAATATCTAATTGCGATTTTTCTAACCAGTATTGTGATTATGATTTAAACTGTAATTGTTTTCTATAAATCAAGGTCAATGCATTTTTTACCATTTCCACCTATTCAGGCTTCCAATGGGTCCAACTCTTCTACAAGCAGTTCATAAGCTGTTTTATTAGGCTAAATTTTCCCACTTAAAACTTGTTGATAATGCAGACTATAATTAAAATTGCAGCTCTTGCAATTTACTTTTACAAACTGCAATTTTGATATAAAAATGATTAATCTTTTAGCCCTAAGCTTCACTGATGGTTTTGGCACCCTTGGTCCCCCCCTGGTTCCTATCACCACCACTGAGTCTCTACAATCAACCATTTCACACCTAACCACTCTGAATGACTCTGTTTACATCACAATGATTAAATTATTGAGAATTTAAAAAATTTCCCTTCATGGGCATCATAGAGGTCTTTCCATAGAGGCCAACCATTTCACACCAAGCCACTCTGAATGACTCTGTTTACATCTCAACCACTGAATTTTGCAGAAATTTTGAAAAATTAGTGGAGGTCCCCTTTTAATAGACTGGGAAAGACAAAGTGTTCAGACTGAGTTTGTGAGAAATCTGAAATTAAAGCAGGTTAGTATTTACTTCCCTCTTTTTCTCTGTGATTTAGACATTCGAAGCCAAGCTCCTTCATCTGGAGAGCCGACCAGGCAGGAGGTCCAAAAACAGCCTGTCGGACGACCTGGAGTTCTTCATGAAGTGTGAAGTTCACAGCTCTGATATCGACATCTTCATCAACTCTTTAAAACGAGTGGCGGACGACGTGAGGATAGCGCAGGACGAGAAGGGTACGTATAATAATAATAAGTTATCCTTTATTAATCCCACATTAATTCTCCTCCGCATTTAACCCATCCGTGCAGTGAAACACCAACATACACACTAGGGGCTATGAGCACACTTGCCCACAGTGGTGGGCAGCCCTATCCACAGAGCAGTTGGGGGTTAGGTGTCTTGCTCAAGGGCACTTCAGTCACGTACTGTCAGCTCAGGGGATCAAGCCGGCGACCTTCCGGTCATAAGGCTGGTTCCCTAACCTCCAGCCCATGACTGCCCTTAAGGCCCATCGCTCTCTGTGGCAGGATATAAATACACCATCATTAAAACCCAGCTGACACACGGTCACTGTCCAGCAAAACCAGTGTCCACAAAATAGTGACTTCACTTTTCTGTTGGTCTATTTATCATGAAACGTTGACACAATGTTGTGATCAAATGATGCAAAAATAAATAAATAAATAAATATGGTTCTTCAAGGGTTCCTTAGTTAAGAAAATGGTTCTATATAGAAACATGAACACTCAAAGAACTATTTACATGATCCTATGGTTCTCTGCATCATGAAAGTGTTCTTCAGATTGATGGAGAATGTGCATGAATGTGCTGTAGGTGGTTCTATATAGAACCTATTTGAAAATGGTCGAATTTACTTAAAAAAATTGAGGAAACTGGTTGCCTTAAAAAAGTAAGTAATATGTCATGAAAACTCGAGTTAGAATAATCATTTTTGTGTTAGGCTAACATGAACACACGTTTGTGCTACTCATAAATTCTAATTATTTTAACTTAACGTCTTGAAACTGCAATTTAACTATATGTTTCATTAGACAACTGACAACTTTTTTTTCTAATTAAGTGATACTGACCACTAAACACCAAAGGGTTAACCTTTACTGTGAACATGGTCACTGACCAACACAAACGCCCACTCATCAGCAAAGAGAACGATAACCTTCACTCTTAGCCAAGAACACAATGTCAGGGAGCTGAGTAAAGCATATATATAAAAAAAAACATAGGCCTGAGGAAAGGCAGCCTGGGTGGAATGAAAGCACACTGACGGTGAGTAAAACGAATAGAAAGAAACTCTCAGTATGCAAATAGATGGAGCCAGGAGCCAATGGGAAAGAAATATACGTTTTATCCAACAAGATCGTGTCAACAAAACAAACGTAACTGTATTTTACAGCTTAATTAGCTTCACTCAGTTTCACACATTCGTTCCGCAACTTTAATGAGAAAGAAACGATTAAAACCAACAGAAATGTCGTCATTTTTTTAATGTGGGGTTTCAAAGTTGTCATAGCAACAGACTAAACTAAATAGCAATAAGTTAATTTAACTCAAAAATTCCATTCGAGTGTACAAAATCATCAAAAAAGTTCCGTTAACTTAAAATAGTTGAGCAACGTGTGGCATATACTGAGTTTTATGCACAACTGACTTAATTTGTTTGAGTTAAAACAAAATGCGGGATTACTGTGTAACAATAGGAGAACCCTTTGGGTGCCATATAGAACCCTTTTCAAAAAGGTTCTTTATAGAACCGTCTATAGCACATTCTCCATCAGTCTGAAGAACGCTTTCATAATGCAAAGAACCCTTTAATCATGCAAAGGGTTCTTCGAGTTCTTCACTAAAGAACGCTTGATGAACAATCTTTTTAAAGAAGGTGTATATTCTTAAAAAAGATGGTTCTTCGAGGGTTCTTTAGTTAAGACAATGGTTCTATATAGAACCATAGAACCATTTTCATGCTTAAATAGTTCTTTACGTGGTTAAATGGTTCTTCGGATTGATAGAACCAAAATGGCTTCTTTTTTCATTTTTTATTAAGAGATTTTCTCCCTGCTTTAGTTCCGTGGTTTCCACGAAAGATCAGTGACCTGGACAAATGCAACCACCTGATTACCAAGTATGACCCTGATCTGGACCAAGATCATCCAGTAAGTATCCAAAAGTCAGTCGAATCACTAGGCTGCTAATTAAAGAGCTCATATCTGACATTTTCCTTGCATTTTATTTTTTCCCCTTTGGTCAACTTTATGATGTTTTTGGGTTTTATGTACCAAAACATTCATAATTAATTTCTGCATGACTATTTTCCAACCTTTCTTTATCTCTTACAATTAAAGAGCCTGTTTTTGTTATTGTGCCATAAAGACTGCTATATGTAAATGAGCTCTGTTCTGATTGGCTGTGCTCTAATGTGCCTTATTCAGATAGCAGCCCAGGCTAGAACACTCCTTATAACTTCAGTGTGAGTGGGCGGGGCTAAACTGCAGTAGGCCAAACAGGGGGATATATGTAAATTATTTGGTTCTGACATCACAGAAATGATGAGTTCGAAAGAGGCTGTTTTTGTAGCTTAGTTTCCACATATGGACTGTATGGACTGAAGAGTGAATGGTATGTTTTAAAAATGTTAATAATGTTTAAATAACACGCCAAGCTTTTATATTCCAAAAAGTGAGGAAACTTGTTTTTTGGTGATATGAGCCCTTTAAAGTGATGAGAACAAAGGAAATCATAACAAAGAACGCTTTCAATTCACTGTAGGGCTTCAGTGATCCTGAATACAGAAAGAGAAGAGCTCAAATCTCTGAACTGGCTTTCAACTTCAAACAGTAAGTAGACTAAACTGTGATATGTTACAGCTGTTACATTAAAGGAGAACTCCACCATTTTTTCCAAAATTGTGGAGATGTAAACAGAGTGATTCAGAGTGGTTTGGGGTGAAATGGTTCAGATTTCTTTACAGTGGTGGTGATAGGAACCAGGGGTCGCCATGACTACAACACAGATATAGACATTTTATTTACGATCCAAAACCACCAGTGAACCTACACAAGCTTTATATTGAATAGAATAGAATAGAATTGAATAGAATAGAATAGAATAAAATATTGCTGTTGTCGGAAGAAAACCTCATAGCTCCATTTTTGACGTTTTTCAGTTTTTGGCATAATTTGAAAAAGCCTGTTGCCCTTTATATTGTGTGTAAATTTCATGACAAATGAAAACGGCCCAAAATGACCAAAAGACCAAAAGAAACGGCCCAAAATGACTTGGAAAAAATTCTGGTTCCATTAACTTACATTAAAAGTAAAGTAGGTTTTTTCCTTCTCCTGTAAAGTTACCATTTTGGAGATACAAGGTTTTCTCTTGACAACAGCGATATGTTAATAATAGTAAAACAGTGTAAAATCTGAAAATGGTGACTATATTGCCTTAAAATGTCCTGCAGTGGTTTTTAAAAATATGTTTTAGCTAAAAACACACAAATTTCTCACAAAATTCTCAAAAACATTGCCTCGACATTAGACAGTGTATTCATAACCATTTCATGTAATAACTTTTTGTAAAGGAGCTTTGAGAAGCAATAAACTCTTTAGACGTCTGGTTCCTATCACCATTTTTCAGAATTGTTGAGATGTAAACAGAGTGATTCAGAGTGGTTTGGAGTGAAATGGCTGAGATTTCCTTACAGTGGTGGTGATAGGAATCAGGGGTCGCCATGTCTACAACACAAATATAGCCATTTTATTGATTATCCAAAACCACCAGTGAACCTACATGTTTCCTCTTTTTATATGGAATGTGGATTATAGTAAAATAGTGTTAAATCTGAAAAAATAAGGGGGACTTTTCTGCCCCACAACACCTTTCAACAAACTCTCCACCATAAATGTTTCGTAAAAACATGTTTTAGGCCAAAATCTTCCCAAAACTATCATAAAACAGTGTCTCAGACATCCACATATTCACAACCACTTCATGTAGTAACTTTCAGTGAGGGAGCTTTTAGAGGTGGACATCTGGTTCCTATCACCACCACTGTGAACAGTTCTGACTTGGTAAGTTTCTCTTGAACAGAGTGTTTCACACCAAACCACTCTGGATAACATATTCAGATTTCATTACATACAAATTTTGAAAAATTGGTGGCTTTCTCCTTTAAAACAGGAGAAAAAGGAACAGTACAGTGTGTGTTTTTAAAAAATACGTCCTTCCATTTCTTGCAGTGGTGACCCGCTACCGTACGTTGAGTACACTCCAGAAGAGGTTGCCACTTGGTAGGTTAACTACAGCAAACATATGACTTTAGGTTCTATAACATGACAATGGGAAACAAAGGCATCGCGGCCGAGTGTGAATGCAGTGTTTCATGATTTGGCAGGATGGAAGTGTACAGGACTCTGACTGCTATCTACCCAAGTCACGCGTGCAGGCAGTTCCTGGAGGGCCTGCAGCAGCTGGAGAGGGAATGCGGCTATGGAGAGGACAAAATCCCTCAGCTCAGAGACGTGTCAGCTTTCCTGAAAGGTAATATCCACAAACCAAGCCCTGCAGAAGCACAATGACTGAGAAATTCCTTAAAAAATGCTCTTACAGCAATGAAACAAGATCATGCTGTACATTTTTTAAACTAAAAGTCCATTAGTTTAGTCTATTTTGTCAGGGACCATGGATAAAATACATTAGTCTCAATAGAAGAGATGCTTTGCAACATCTAGGTGAAACCTGTAAAGAACCCATTTCAATGACAAAAACAATTTTTGTGGCTTTTTATAACTTTAGCTTTGCTAAATCGAATCATATCGTTCCCATATATAGTTCATATAATCCAAATATGGAAGTTAGCTGAAAAATCAGCCCACTGTTTTTGTGCTGTTACGAAAACCCACACATTTACGTTTATACTGCTAATACAGAGTGCAGCAGTTTAGCCCCGCCCACTCATGCTGAAGTTGTAAGAAGTGTTTCAGCCCAGACTGCTTTTACACAGGGTGGCCAATCAGAACGGAGCTCATTTACTTATTTCACTCTTGAAGGCATGGTAACAAAAATGGCCTGTTTTATTCCAAGAGCTGAAAAGAGGACGAAAAATAGTGAAATTAATTATAACTACACAAAAATCATATGTCAATAAATTAAATACGATTTAGGATATGGGTCCTTTAATTAATATGTTTACATTATGTGAAATTTCTTTAAACTTTTACTTCACACTCACACGTCTCATCTACAAACAGTTCTTTAAAGCTACAGTGAGATAATTTTACTCAATAAAATGACTTAAAACAAGTAAATAATGTCTAGAAATAAGCTAAATAAGCGCACAACCATCTCAAAATACAACGTTAGATAGATCTTACATAGTGCAGCTTTAAAGAACCATCCAGTGAAAGTGTCTTGAAGGAGCCAAAAGTGGTTCTGTGCTCCAAAGAACCTTTTTTTGGCACCTTTATTTTTAAGAATGAATGAAAAAGTTGCATGTACCAGTTGGGTGGTGTCTGACTGGATTATGCATCAGTTTAATCCATGGTTCTGACTGGGTTTACAGATAGAACGGGCTTTCAGTTGCGTCCAGTGGCCGGGCTGCTGTCTGCGCGCGACTTCTTGGCGAGCCTGGCGTTCCGAGTGTTCCAGTGCACCCAGTACATTCGCCATTCCTCAGCCCCCATGCACTCGCCTGAGCCGTACGTGTCCTTACAGACCTCACAGAGATTGTATCATCCATTAAAAAGGAACGTGGTTTGATCATGTTATGCTTGTTGGATTGTGTTTTTAACAGAGACTGCTGTCATGAACTGCTCGGTCACATCCCCATGCTCACAGACAGGGAGTTCGCTCAGTTCTCGCAGGTACACTTGGCTTGGTTCACGTTGTACTGCTTAACAGCTTATTACACAGTTATAATGTAGTAATTACATACACAAATTCCAATAATTTGTTTAGTAATTTTAGACATTAACCCCTTAAAAAGGTTTTGTTATACACTTCTATAACCTAAGAATAGCTCCATTAATTTGCATTGAAGTCCCTGTAGTTACTGAATAAAAAGCCTTTGTCTGAAATAAACCTGGACTGTTAAGAGGTTGAAGGAGAACTCCACCAAATTTTCTAAATTTCAGCATAATTCATAATCAGAGTCATTCAGAGTGGTTTGGTGTGAAATGGTTCAGATGTCTTTACAGTGGTGGTGATAGGAACCAGGGGTCTCCATGACTACAACACAAATATAGACATTTTATTTACTATCCTGAACCACCAGTGAACCTACACGAGTCTTCTGAGTTTATATGGAATGTTGATGATGGTGAAATAGTGAAAAAGTAAGTTTTATTTTTTAAGGACTATTTTGCCTCATGCATGTATCTCTCTGCCAAGAATGAATAAAAAGGATGATTTATGCTAAAACCTCCTTAAAACAAACATAAAACAGTGTCTCAGTCATCAGGCAGTGAATTCATAAGCAGTTCATGTAATAACTTTCTGTGAGGGAGCTTTTAGAGGTGGACGTCTGGTTCCTATCAGCACCACTGTGAACAATTCTGACTCAGTAAGTTTCTCTAGAATGAAGCGTTTCACACCAAACCACTCTGAACGACTGTTTACATCTTAACCATTTAATTACGCAGAAATGTGGAAAAATCATTGGAATTCCCCTTTAAACACTTGAACACCATATTTCATTTCGTAGGAGATCGGGCTCGCCTCTCTTGGAGCATCTGATGAAGATATTGAGAAGCTGTCCACAGTAAGCAGCTTAATTTTTGAACCAGCGGCTCTCAGAGAGCTGAATGGCCACATAAATCAGTCTTTGCTGACCTCTAGTGTTGTCTTTGGTGAATTACATTCATAATTTGTCAGCCTTTTCCTTCATTCCTTTTTTCCTGCTTTAATTAGTGCAAATAAATGAAAATTTTAAAGTGTATAGACGTCCTTATTTCTTTTATTAACACTGCATGAATAATGAGGTGTAGGAGTGGTTAGTATAGAAATGTTCTGCAAGAAACTACTGATCTGTAAACGCTCACCTTTACCTAAAGGGGAACTCATTTCAAGTGCAAATGGAACGGCATGCGTCACCTAATGAGAGTGTCTGTATCTTCTGTTACAGCTGTACTGGTTCACTGTTGAGTTTGGGCTGTGCAAGCAGAACGGGACAGTGAAGGCCTACGGTGCTGGCCTGTTGTCCTCTTACGGAGAACTTTTGGTGAGACAACCTTCAATTTCATGAGGCCCAATTCCATTTCTTTTATTACCCCTACCCCTTGTTTTCGAGTGTCACTTTACCCCTTGGAACAATGGTTAAAATCTTGCCCTGTTAAATGGAACAACCCTCAAATAAAAAGAGCATCACTTCATTAACAGCTACCAGCGCTGCTCTGTAGGCGACTCTGCCAGTCTGCAGTGACAGCAGAGGAGGGTAAAGTTCAGCTCCTCACTGCTGGGCTTTAGTTACATTTAGGGCATCATATGCCTTCAAAGAGGGGAGCAATTATTTATTATCACCCACCTCTAATTCTTCGGTGATATGAAGCTAAAGTCAAGTGTTCGCCAGCTTCTTGTTACATTTTCACAATAATGTCTAGAAATAAGCGAAATAATCTTATTATAAGTGCACAACCATCTCAAAATAAAACATATTAGATAGATCAACTAGATTTAAGATCATTTCACTTGACAAGATATTGTTTTTTGTAGTGTGGTGGTCTTCAAACTTGCATACAACTGTACATAGTACCAGTCAAAAGTTTGGACATTCTCACTCATAGAAGGATTTTCTTTATTTTCTAATAATGATGAAGACCTCAAAACTACGAAATAACACACAAGGAATGACAAGGTGACTCTCAGCAGCATATTTTAAAGTTGTTTTTTTTTTTGACAAATTTTTTAAATCATTTTAACAAAATCTTACATAGTGCAGCTTTAAAGAACCATCCACTGAAAGTTTCTTGAAGGAACCAAAACTGGTTCTGTGCTCCAAAGAACCCTTTTTGGTGAATTTATTTCTAAAAATGAATGAAAAATTTGCATGTGTCAGTTGGGTGGTTGGTATAGTGGTTGGTAACACCTCTGCCTTCTATGCTGTAGACTGGGGTTCAATCCCTGCCCAGGCAAGCACCCTACAGTATACCAATAAGAGTCCTTGGGCAAGACTCCTAACACTACCTTCGCCTACCTGTGTAAAATGTTGTTTGAATTTTCCTGTTCCACTTTAAATGGGTGGAATTCAAGGTGGGACAGGAAACTTAGCCAGCTACTGAGCATACTACTAATGATATTTTGTGCTTGTTATGAAGAAAAGGACCATAAACATTGTGATGCCATTAAACTAACATAATACAATGGCTATTATATTTTTTTTTTAATGGAGAAAATACATTTGTGGGTTTCTTTGGTCTCTTGTTCAGCTGTCTTGCCAGTTTTTCCTTTCTTCTCATAACACTCTGTTTGGAGTGTCTCTGAAAAACCTCCGTTTGTCCCTACTTCCCTCTATCTCAACAACAATCGGACACCCTATTTCTAGAGGTGAAAGTGCAAAACAGAGGGGTAGGGCTAAGAGGTAGGGCCGAGGGATGAAATGGGACTGGGCCTTAGTATCTACATATTACACAAGGGGAATTCCACTGAATTTTAAAAAAAACATTCTACACAATTCAGTTGTTGAGATGTATACAGGGTCATTCAGAGTGGTTTGGTGAGAAATGGCTGATTGTAGAGACTCAGATGTCTTTACAGTGGTGGTGATAGGAACCAGGGGTCGCCATGACTACGAAACAAATATAGCCATTTTATTTACTATCCAAAACCACCAGTGAGCCTACACGAGTCTTCTGAGTTTATATGGAATGATGATGGTGAACCTCTAAGCCGTGAATGGATTAAAAAAATATATATTTTATTCCAAAATCTTCTTAAAACTATCATAAAACAATGTCTCAGGCAACAGGCAGTGTGTTTATAACCATATCATGTAGTAACTTTCTGTGAGGGAGCTTTTAGAGGTGGACGTCTGGTTCCTAGCACCACCACTGTGAACAGTTCTGACTCTGCAAGTTTCTCTACAATAAACCATTTCAAATCAAACCACTCTGAATGTTTACATCTTAGCCATTTGATTACGCAGAAAATTGGAAAAATGGATGGATTTCCCCTTCAGTATATATTATTATACAATTTTGCCATATATGTTTGGAAGGCCTACATTGCTTATCAACCAGGCAGTAAACTCAGCCCTCTGTGACACCAGAGGCTCATGAAGCCTGTCTGTGTAAAAAGCAATGGATCTAGTGTGACAGCCGTGATTCATGGCATCCTAGTAATGCCCCAGACCCAAAACACTTCACACATAGTTGGTTAATGGTGCAAGAAGTATGTGTCTTGGCATAAACAATAATAGACGAGCTTAAATTTTAATCTTGATCTAGTCTCTAAAGACTTTGCGCTGGCTTCAAATTCACGCAACCATGGTGTGTCCTCTGTTCTAGTACGCTCTCTCCAATGAACCTGAATACAAACCATTCAACCCTGCCGAGACGGCGGTCCAGCCATACCAGGATCAGACATTCCAGCCCGTGTACTTTGTGTCCCAGAGCTTCGAGGACGCCAAAAACAAGATGAGGTGAGAGTTCAGAACAGTTTGAGGGAACAAGAGGTTTGTATATAGGAGTATATATGGAGTATGAACATAACTGCAGTGCCACTCAAAAGTTTGGACACACCTGATTTAATGTGCATTCTTCACAATCGTAAACATACTGAAATAAATCTAAACGGTATTCGGGGGAGTCCCATGTTGGCATTGGCAATTTGCTACAGCGCCACCTTGAGGCAAACCAGTGCTACATCACTAGTTGATTAACGATGCATTTGTATTTTACCATAACAGTGTAAGTTTATTTTCAGGGACCCCCAGAGTTTTGATTTTGAGACATTCAGGGGGTCCAAGAGGTTAATTAGGAAGTTTAGGACCGCCCAGAACCCCCTGTATTTCGCATCTTCTCAAGAATAGTTTTCTCCAGCCAATATGGTCTCAGCTTATGTGTCTCTTCAAGATCTTCTTCAAGAAGGTTCTAATAAAAAAAGACGAAGAAAGTCCTGCTATAAGTAAACATGTCCAAACTTTTGACTGGTACTATGTACAGTTGTATGCAAAAGTTTGAAGACCACCGGTCTTGATTTTCCTCTACAGGGGACAATTCTTTTCATTGATGGAGATTGTGCTGTGGTTGGTTCTATAAAGAACCTTTTTTTTAAAAGGGTTCTTCTGTTGTTACAAGCATAACATTAGCCACGTTTACATGCAGCCTGATAATCCGTTAATAATCCAACTAATAGCTCAATTGCAATAGAACACGTCCATGTAAACACCTCAATCGGAATAGACTAGTCCGATTGAGGCCATTCGGAATACAATTTCTATCCGATTGAACGAGGTGGGTAAACTTCTAAATAATCCGTTAAATAGAAGAATAATAGCCATGTAAACGCCTGAATCCGATTACATTCCAAGCGGAACGTGTAAGTATGTTCTGCGCATGTGCGTCGCGTCATGGCGAAAGTTTATACCGTTCAACATGGCGGAGCAGAAACTGGTCTGCAGAGGAGACGAAGTTTATGCTCTGATCTTTAAAAGGCGGCGGTGGGACGGACGTCCAGCTTATGTGTCTCAGAACACGACGTCTTCCTCTCGGCCTTCTTTAATAAGGACATGTGAGGTACGTTTACCTGAGTCTGACATCATTTTAAAGCAATTAAAACACGAGCGCGCCAACTGGAAACTCATCTCACGCGGACTGGACCTCACGTGATGTTCGCTGTCATGGTAACGTTTACTCTAAACGCTACTCCACGCATGCGCGTCATTTTGCATCGGATTACTTGTAGTGAGCGTGTAAACGAAGATTTTCCATCAAATCGTTGAATAGAGTGTGCATATAAACACCTCAGTCTGAATCTGTAATAGGATTGTATTCAATCGGATTGGCAAAAATCTTTGCATGTAAACATAGCCATTGTAACAATAGAAGAACTCTTTTTAAAAAAGGTTGTTTGTAGAACCATCTACAGCACAGTCTCCATCAGTCTGAAGAACAATTAAATGCAAAGAACCCTTTCATTATAGAAAGGGTTCTTTGAATGCTCGTGGTTCTATATATAACCATTTTCTCTGCTAAAGAACCCTTGAAGAACCATCATTTCAAGAGTGTATTGTAGCTTTAGCAGAAACTTATTTTCAGCACTAAATGAAAACTAGTCTGTGTTATTTAACATTAACTCAGCGTTAAAAAGTATTTTATTATAAACAACCAATGTTACAATGCAGTAATAAATCACTCCTGTCGGAAGAAAACCTCAGCTCCATTTTTGACAAAATCTGAAAACGCCTGTTGATCTTTACATTGTGTGTAAATTTCATGATGAATGGACCAGAAGAAACGGCCCAAAATTACTTGGAAAAATGTCTGGTTCCATTGACTTGCATTGAAAGTAAAGTATGTTTTTTCCTTCTCCTGTAAAGTTACCATTTTGAAGATACGAGGTTTTATTCCGACAACAGCGAAATGTAACTACAAAGTTTTGATAGTTCTATACTGTCCTGATCATTGCTACAGTAATGCTACAGTAATCCATGAAGAGCTCTTATTTAGGTGTTTTTGAATGTTTTCCTAATGCACAAAGCCAAAGTCAGCTGCTTTCGTAAGTGAAACGAACACGAATAGTGTTAAGGTTTTGAGCAGCGTTTACTCGTCTGTGAGATACGCTGATTATTGAGTGTAGCATCATATTGCATCATATCAACTGGTTGGTAACTGCCCCAATGGCAGATTTTCCCCATTCACACAAAGTAGCAGAACGTTTCTGTGGTGACTGCTTCATTGATGATGGCTGACTGTCTCACTTCGTTTAACTGGGGAGGAAAAACCCTGATAGTGAGCATATGTTGGTCTGCTAGCTTGATAAGGTCGGCACCCCGCTGTCTGTTTGCCACTGCAAGTCCACCCTCGGACCACCCAGATTACTGTCCTGCATACAAGCTCTAACTAGGTTTTAATCTCCTCATTTTTTTTTTAAATGCACACAGACTTTTATTTTGGAAAATAAGACAAGTACTACAAACAACCGAGAGAAAAAATAATATAAATGTCCTTATATAAAATGATTTTATAGAAAATGTTGCTGACACTGTGCTGGATTAAAATTATTTACTTAACTAATTTACAAAGAATAACTAAAGAAAGGAAGGAAAAATAAGAAAATTGGACTGTGAGTGGACAATAAGCAATGATAAGTGGAATTTTGTCTAATACTCCACTTTACCACCGTTGGGCCGCCCAGAAAACGCTGAGCAAAACACATGATCAGAACAGACAGATAGGGAATGTAATCAGATACAGGCGTTTACATGGATATTATTCTTCTATTTAACGGATTATTTACAGGATTACCCACCTCGATCAATCAGATAGAAACTGTATTCCGAATGGCCTCAATCTAGACTATTCCAATTGAGGTGTTTACACGGATGTATTCTATTCTGATTGAGCTATTCAGATTATTAACAGATTATCAGGCTGCATGTAAACGTGGCTAATGAACAGTAATGTAGCCCATGACAATCTTTTTTTAATTTGAAAGGAAAACTTGCTTTGTGTATTTGTAATTATGACTATTACAGAAGAGAGATTGAATATGATTGCTATTGTTGCTCTACAGGCAATATTCATCCACCATCCAGAAGCCTTTCTCCATCAGATATGACCCTTACACCTGCTGCATGGAGGTCCTGGATAACCCCTGCAAGATCCAGAACGTTCTGGGCCAGATGAGGGAAGAACTGAAGATTCTACACAGTGCATTAGAGAGACTGGGCCAATGCTGAGCCTTGATGGATGATTTATCACAATGAACATCACACAGACATTCAGAAAATCTATATGTAGAATGTATATATATAGAGAGATTTACATGATGGGTATTCTTCTTCAGTACAGCTCTAAATATGTCTGTGTCAGCAAGCTGCAATGAACAGAAATGCGCCCAAATAAATATTTATTTTGACTATTCAACTGATATCCAGCTTTCTTGTGTACGGAGTTTTATTTGGTTGTCTACGAGAAAATGTTCAAGAAAAGTTTGGGAGTCTGTAACTGCGTACTCGAGTTATACCGTGCCTTTTATTTGAGGTGGCTCCATTTTATAAAATCTAGAAAGTACATTTTCCATAATAATTTCTGTTCTTTTATAATAAACTGACAACCTGGCCATGTTTTGACCACCTAAACATTTCGCTGTTGTCAGAAACAAAGCCTTGTATATCCAAAATGGTAATTTTACAGGAGAAGGAAAAATACACTCTACTTTTAGTGCAAGTCAAAGAAACCAGACTTTTTTCCAAGTAATTTTGGGTTATTTCTGTTGGTCCATTCATCATGAAAATTGCAAAGGACAACGGGTACTTTCAAATTATGACAAAAACTGAAAAACAACAAGATAGAAGGTTTTGTTCCGACAGCAGCGATTTACATACATAAACTGAGCTGCCAGTTTATTAGCCTTGCACAACAATCCATACACTATATGGCCAAAAGTATGTGGACACCTCTCCTAATTATGGTGTTTGGAAGCTTTAGCTACCCACATTGCTAACAGGTGTATAAAATCAAGCACATCACCATGTAATCTCCACAAACACTGGCAGCAGAATGGGTCGTACTGAAGAGCTCAGTGACTTTACATGTGGCGCTGTCATAGGATGCCACCTCTGCCACAAGTATTTTCTCAAAATTTCTGTCTTGCTAGATCTGCCTCTGTTAACTCTAAGTGCTATTATTGTGAAATGGAAGCATATTGGAGCAACAGCAGCTCAGCTTCAAAGTGGTAGACATTTAGTGATGCCGCCAAGTGCTGAAGCATGTAGGGCATAAACATCATCTATCCTCTATCCTCAAAGGTACAACAGTGGTTTTAAGGTCTGATTGTGAACCTTAAATAAGTTTTTCCAGGTGAAAAGTTTGTATTTGTACCTTTTCATAACCGAATGTTTTAAAACAGAACAGTAAAATAAAAGCCTGGAGACGAGACGGGGTGTGTGGAGTCAGTACAGCTTAGAGAATATCATTTCAGTGGATTATGGTTCAGTTATGTTCCCTGACTAAAGATACTGAGATGGAACCTTAGTGCCTTTTTTTCTGAGAATGTATCAGAGAAGAGCTTTAACAGTGTTGATTCCTTATTTAAGGCGGAAGACGGCAGCAGGACGCGCTGTGCATTTTTATTTTTTTTGTATACTACTAGGTGATCCTGAACTTCAACAATGAGATGCTCAGCATTCACGGCTCCCAGTAAATGAACAACCAGTTTATTTCACTGCTGTGGTTGACGGCAAAACCTAGGAAAACTGAACGTTCTGCTGACTGTATTGGAGGCATAATTTTCTATTGCTGCTCCACTGAAAAACATAGAATATCTGGTTTTCTGCCAGCATGGGAAGCATGACCCCAGACCCACTCTCCAGTAAAGGCTTAGGGTTAGGGTTAGTTGATTAAGTAATTAAGTAAAATGCAAATCCAGTTACCCATGGATAAGCAAAAAGAAGCTTAGGCTACCATTAATGAAATGTTATTTATTCTGAAGCAAACACATTTGAAAATGTTTTATTATTCAAAAAAAGCCAAGAAAAACGTTTTAGTGACTGTCCAAAAGCTTATAGACACTTCGTCCTCCAGCATTTCTTCTGAAATGAAGAGAACTAATATGGAGTTTGTCCTCCTTTGCTGCAGTAACAGCCTTTACTCTTCTAAGGCGGCTTTACAATAGATCAGGGGTCGGCAACTCAAATCTTACGACGAACGATTTTGTCCTTTTCAACAAAGATTAAACCACCTTGGGAGCCACAACATTTTATGTCCATTTTATTGAAGTAATGTTTTACCATCTTCGCTGTAAATATGTCTCAGTATGTGTTAATGTTCTGGTAAAGGCTAAAAAAATGTAGTATAAACAAAAAACGCAGACTAACTTCACTCTGCTTTAAGCTTTAGCTCAGCTATAGCCGCTTTTCTCGCATCTCCAGCAGGAAACTTTTCCTCAAAAGTAGAACAGTTTCTTGTAAAATGTCTTTTAACATTCGATTTTTCTCAAGGCTGAAGTTGATTCTCATTCACCAGCTTCTTGTTTGAATTTTCCGTTCCACCTTAAATGGTGCCTGAGGAGCCAGATTGTAACTGCTTCACTCCAGCATTTAAGACCATTTACTGTTAAACCTTGTTGAACGATCAGCAGAGCTTTATTTTACTGCAAAAGAGGATTATTATTATTTATCTTTACCCACAAATCTAATACTGCTGTGGAGCCGCAACAGGGCAGTAAAAGAGCTGCATGTTGCCAACCCCTGAAGTAGTTGTTGGAACATTGCTGCGAGGATCTGATTGCATTCAGCCACAAGAGCATTAGTGAGGTCAGGTACTGATAAATGCCAGTCCACTCCACTTCTGGAGCTGCACCACTCCATAAAATGCAAAATGCAAAACCGAATTCTGGGGGTCTTTATACCCCTTTAGCTGACACTTGGCTTTGTGCATGGTGACCTTATTTATTATTCAAAAATAGCCCAAAAAAACCTTTCAGTGGCTGTGGGTTAAACTGGTAGCTTCTCATGTTGTCTTAGTAGGCTGCTCGTTCAGATCAAACTAATGTGCTGAAACTACCACTAGAACAAAACAGTGCAGAGGCAGATGGTGATGACCATAGGCAGGGATGGCTCATCGTCTCATGAGACACAAGCGCCTTTGGAGGCAAAAATATCAAAATAAACAGGTCGTGTTTGTGTTTGTGCACTGGGAAAAACACAATGTACACAAACAGAATGATTACTTCTCAGTTCATGTGCAACAGCTTATTATTTCCTGCACGGTTCTATTTCGGCTCTCGTGTTTATTTATTTTAAATATGATGGCAAAGTTTGAGCTGAGTTTTTTTTTTTTCATTACATAATCAGGGGCTATTCATGCATCTAATTTCAGCACCTGCAGTGGACGGTGCCCAGTTTGAGCCTGGGGCTTTGTGGTCTGAGGCCTCTGGGCATTGGCCACACTGGCTTGGTCAGTAATTCATCTCTGCTCGAGTAATCCATCTCTTTTTCAAGGGCTCCATTTAGAATCACGAACACTCAACCATTTGCACAATTAAATGGTTCTTTGTATCTTGAAAGCTTTCTTCAGATTGACGGAGAATGTGTTATATGGTTCTGTGTAGCACCAAAAAGGGTTCTTCTATTCTATACAACCTTGACATCGTAACCATAGCAGAACCCTTGGTGCTATATAGAACCATACCACATATTTTCCATCAGTCTGAAGAACCATTTCACCATGCAAAGAACCAATCATGCAAATGGTTCTTTGAGTGTTCTTGGTTCTGTAACCACTGTCTTTATTAACGAACCCTTGAAGAACCATCACAAGTTATTTCTCACCTAAAACGATCTGCCAACAGGTTAGTTTGTCACGGTAACACTGTGAGCAGAGAAATCTTTTCATTGCTTGTGGTTCTAGCTAACATCAGCTAGAATACTTATCCTATGGTCACATCTCTGACTTCTCAAACACGTCCTAAACAAACAGTCCTTGGCAACATGCTCACGTTAATCCACTCTTAACAGATATTTCACCGTGTTTCATTAAAGTGTTCACATTTTCTTCATGACTTTCTGTGAAGTAGCATAACAAATACCCTAATTGTGGTTTCAGTATTCGAACGGCGACACCTGGAACGGTTAACTGAGTACTTGGGTACCCATTCCTGGGCACATCCCTATGTTGAACATAACCAAAACAGCCATCCAATATGAAAGAACTGCTTAGCGTTCTCATTTATACATGGTACCACAATCCTGTACAAAGCTTCACGTATCTTGTAGTTCCACGCCGAGGCAAAGTCATGATAACCTAAAGACCAAAGGAAGATGTACACAGTACTAGATATGTTCAAAAGGCTGCTGAACTTTACCCTCCTCTGCTGTCACTGCAGACTGGCAGGGTCGCCTACAGAGCAGCGCTGGTAGCTGTTAATGAAGTAATGCTCTTTTTATTTGAGGGTCCCATTTCAGAGGGAAGATTTCAACCACTACTCCTTGTAACTCAGTTCCAAGGGGCAAGGAGACTCTCGAAAACAAGGGGTAGGGGTAAAAATAAGAAATGGGATTCGGCCTAAGACTCTCAAACTGAGGTCTTGTTGAAATGTTCTGGAATTTCTTTCCACACCGTAATAAACACTGGAATAAATGAACGGTTGAATGAGTCTTCATAACGTTAGCTCACCAAGGGCCACGAAAGTTGCTCTTGATCTTTCTTCAAGGACGAATCCATGTAGCCCACATTTAGCATGATACAATCCCAACAAAGTAGCTTCCAGCATGACCGAGTGTAGCTTTAAGGAAAAGGAACGGGAGCTAATTACAAATAATTTAAGGATCACGTTTCTCCTTCTGCCTCGACGGACTGCCAAGACTCGGAGCTAGAGCAGGTCAAGGGGACCTCTTGGCACATTCCCTGTCTGTCAAGGTGCTTTTCTGATGATGGATTATCTGTGGTCACACATGCAAGGGAGTACGATCTACCACGGATCTGTTCCACTGATACTCGAGATTAGCCTGCCTAGTTACCATTCAGTTCTCTTCTGGAGTCCAAACACGAAAAGACCACCCTTCAGCACTGACCATAAAACATGGCCGTTGGGAAGGAATATCGGTTCCTTTTGTGAGGTAAAGCCATGTGTTTCCCATGTAAGCAAGGTTAAATCAGACAACTGCTGTCTTTCTGCACAGACTCTCAATGAGACTCCTGTGAGGAAGATAGAAGGAGGGGCGAGCGAGAAAGAGAGAGAGAGAGAGAGAGAGAGAGAGAGAGAGAGAGAGACAGAAAGTTTGGAGTCAGAAAATGAGTGTAATATATGAGTGGAGTGCAGAGGCACACACATCCACTTACATAAACTAAAATTCAAATGCTTAATCGTTTCTCGTATCTCATCTTTCTCC